TTCCATCATTGAGATTATAGAATTAAAATTTTGCGTATTTAGACTAATGTGAGCTTGTAATTAATTTACCTTAACAATATAAAAAATAATTATAATAATGATATATATAATTGTTTGACACAATTTTCTTACATTTTTCATATTAATGAAATATTCTCATTTGGCTATAATTATTATTTTTTAATATTTATATAACTTTCTATGATGAGAAATGATTTTTTATAATTGATAGAGTGTCGTAGCAGTATGAATATGATAATAAGATTATTTTGAAATATTTATTTCTTTTTATAATAATTATATTATAATTTTTATAACTAATTGCATATGGTCCCTTTATGAATATTAGATAGCCATTATTAATGTTTTTTATCCACTTCACAAATTTTGAAATTGTTTTTTAACTATGAAAAATTAGCTCTAATATTTCCATTTACATTAATTTTCAATTTTTTAGAATCTTAGAAACAAAAAATTAGAAAATTCATTAAAAATTTTAACTATTGAAAATAAGTAGTTAAGTTATTGATGCTTCCATATTTTCTTCGGAATTTCATTATCAAAACTCATTTTTTGTTAATTATAAATTATTAAATGGATTGGCCTTATAATACCATAATAATTTAAAGGGAAAAGTTTAGGGAAATATTCAAATGAAAGAGTAAAAGGTTTACTATTATGAGCCTAATTGTTGAATAAGTAATTCTAGGACTAAATAAGTTTCATTTGAGATAACTTTTTTACTGCTTTCTAAATCAGCTCTTTAGAAAAAAAAAATTTTTGAACAAGAAATTTTTGTACTAAAAAGTTGCATTATGAAGCCTAAGGCTTTGCTTGAGATAGCTTTCTTAGTGTTTTTTTAAGCAACTTTCTAATGCTAAAGTTTTTTGAATTAAAAAATATTATGCTGGAAAGCATTAAGAATGTTGTCTCTAACAAAGCCTAAACCCATAAATATAAACAGTTTGGGTCCATTGTGTGTATATTTTATTTTTTTAATATAAAATATGATTAAATTGTGAAAAGGTCTATAGCCCAATGATTGAAGAAGATTGTTTCTACAAGGTCAAAAATTTGAGCCACATATTAAGTAAATTATTTTAAAAAAAATGCTATTAAAATTTTAAAAAAATGCTACTAAAATTGAATTAATAATTTAGTTTGATCAATTTGGATTGTGAATCCTATTACCCATAACTATATATCCAAATTAATAATTAACTTGTCTAAAATCATTAGTATATTAGGAAATATATATATATTAAAACAACTCAATAAAATTAAAGAATTGATTGACAAACCATTAAAATTTTATATTTTGGGGAGATCGAGCACCAATAGAAAAGCTTAATAATGTCAAAATTATTGAATTAGAATTAACTTGTTATTTTAGTTTTTGATAAATTATAATGTTGAGTCTTCAGAGAATGACTCCTTCCTACTAAAATTAAAATTATCAGGAATACAAATTCAAGCTAGGATTATTCAACTCGGGTGCAACTCATCTTGATTTGTTGCCAAACCATAACTATTCCAAATTAATAATTAACTCGTCAAAAATGAAAAAGCATTAGTATATTAGGAAAAATATATATATATATTACAATAATTCAATAAAATTAAATAATTGAATGACAAGCCATTAAAATTTTATATTTTGGGTAGAGCACCAATAGAAAAGCTTAATAATGTCAAAATTATTGAATTATAATTAACTTGTTATTTTAGTTTTTGATAAATTATAATGTTGAGTCTTCAAAGAATGATTCCTTCCTACTAAAATTAAAATTATCAGGAAGACAAATTCAGGCTAGTATTATTCAACTCGCGTAGCTCATATTGATTTGTTGCCAAATAATCTAATCAATAAATTTGTGTTAGAAAAGGACGAATTGGCCATTTTTGCATACTTAACCTTTTTTTTAGAAAGAATATGAAAAGATGTAAATGACATTGATTCTTCATTTTTTTTCATGCTCAGGTCATCGACGTTAACGACCTTTCAAGGTTACAGTAAAGGTTGCCCCCCATCTTGAAATCATTTCTGACAAATGAAATCAAAATGTTACGTGCTAAAAAATTTGAGTACAATAGGTTTATATAAAAATGGAAAAAGAAAAAAAAACCATGGGGCTTAACCTTGTAACAAAATTCACAGTGTAGTAAGTAAAACAAAGATGCTCCTTTCTTCATTATTGAAGAGGAGAAAGAGTACTAAGATCAAATGTCTACAGATGAATGATCTAGGCCCAACAATAAAGCTTATTTTTTAAAAGAGGGATTTTAGATAATTGATATCCACATGTGGACTAATATACCCAAAAATAGGGGTTAAACCTTCTTGGTATTCTCGAGAAAGTGATGATTTTTTAAGCTGGTTTTCGATGTTAACGGTGGTTGTAGCATACTTGTTAAACGTCAACAAACTTATAAAATAAACAAATTAAAATATAACTATATAAATCAAAGTTGGTTGCTCATTAACCTTTGAATAATCTACTTATTCCATCGAGCTGATCAAAGTATGTGTCAAATAATCAAACAAATACATTTGTACTAAACATGTCTTTTTGCACAAAGGTTGATCTTATGAAAATGTTTGATCATATTAAGAGATCATTTCCTAACAATAGACTCATCTCCCTTGATTTTTCCCTCTTTATTTGTTAGATAGATTCAAGTCTGTACTAACTTTAATATCCACTTCTTTGTTATTATTACTAGGGAAATGAAAGGTTCTTTCAACTCTAATTGTGCACTTGCCAAATAATCTATACAATAAATTTGTGTTAGAAAAGGACAAATTTGCCATTGTTACATATTTAACCTTTTTTTAGAAAGAATATGAAAAGATGTAAATGACATTGATTCTTCATTTTAACAAAAAATAAAAAAAAGGTGTGATATTATATACCATTTTTTAGCCTTATCTAAATTATTATCCAAATACATTTTAATATAAAATAATTTATTTGTCATATTACACGTCTTATAATTGATTCGAAGGCATTGACTTTTTTATAATATTATCAGTACACTTCTATTAATCAGAAAAACTAATAATAATAATAATAATAATAATAATAATGTTTCGTTTGGGATAGCTTTCTTCCTAATTTTTTCATTTTGGATTGTGAATCCTATTACCCAAAATTATATATCCAAATTTATGATTATATCATCCAAAATCATTGGCATATTAGGAAGAATTATTTATTACAATAACTTAATAAAATTAAAGAATTGAATGATAAGCATTACAATTTTATATTTGTCATATTACAATGATAAGCACCAATATAAAAGCTTAATAATGTCAAATTATTGGATTTAATTTTGTCTGTGAAAGTATATCAAAACCTTAAGATAGGAGTTAATCCTAGGGGGAGAGAGAGAGAGAGAGAGAGAGAGAGAGAGAGAGAGAGAGTCTTTAGGGAAAGCATTTCTGGTCAAATTAATAAACTTCATGGACTTGGACAAATGCTCGATCACCTATTTAAGAATATCCTACATAATTTATATTGTATTGATCTCAAAATATAAATAATAATGATAATTAAAATCCATCATAATTGGTGTGTGCTAGAAAATTTGAGTCGGTTGAGTTTATATTTCGCATCTTAGCAGTGAGCAAAGATTCAGCACGAACAAATAATTAAAAAATATTAAGACTAAAAGAATTTTTTACATAGAAAATATGGAAAGAAAAAAATCATGTGGCATGGCTCAGTTATAAAATTCACTATGTACTGAGTGATACAAAGATTCTCCTTTTTTCATTCTTGAAGAATAGGAAAATACAAATATCAAATGTCTACAGATGGAGGATCCATGCCCAATAACAAGGCTTAATTTTTTCAAGAAAGATTTTAGAAAATTGATGTCTACAAGAAAGCAAATATACATAATGACAGGGTTAAATCTTCTTAGAATTCTCAAGAAAGTCATGATTTTTGAAACTGGCTGTTGACGTTGATGGTGCTTATTGACGTGGAAAGCAACTCCGACTCACTCAGGCGACTGGAGCAACTAAAAAATTGATTATATTATATAATTATATTTAAATTATACTATTTTATTTTTAAAATATCTAAAAGAGCTCACTATTATTTCTTAAGCCATTAGCCCTTTCTCTATTCGGTAACTTACAGGATAAGGGAAAATTAAGAGTTAAAAAGAGAGGAGAGAGAAAAAAATCAAGATTTAGGCTTCATTTGGGACGGCTTTTTTACTGCTTCTTAAAACAACTTTCGAGTACAAAAATTTTAAATTTTGTACTAGAAAGCTGTTTTAAGAAGCAATAAAAAGGTCGTCCCAAACGAAACCTTAGAGAACGTAAAGTGATTTTTGTCGGTTGGCTTAGTTGGGATATTTGCTATTCTCACTGTAATGAATCATTTCCCTATTTCCGATTTCAATAATTTTATATTTTTTATTTTTTTTATCAAATTGTATTTCCATTACCGAAAAATAAAGATAATTTTATATTCGTAAAACTTTCAGGGCTAAATTTTTATATGTTATAAAGATTGAGATTATGGAATTTTTTAGTATTTATTTGAGATTTTTCATGGGATGATTTTGAAAAAATTGTGATTTTCAAGCTGTAACATATTAAGAGAACATCGCTAAAAGGAATAATAAAGCATATTACCTCAAACATGAAGATGATCTTCCAATCTCTTAGCTTTGGGGTCTCTCATTTATTTTCACCAGAAGTTGAAATTAAAATTACATAGGCATTATTTGTAAAAGTTAATGTCATCAAGCAACAAACAACTTCAATAAGGTCAAATATTCTGGGTGAATTCTATTGACCTCTTCTCTACTGCACATTAAAGCATCTCCTATAACTTTTTTTTTTCAAAGAAAGATTATAACATGATCATCATCAGACCTTCACTCATTTGACACTATTAGTGTGTAGCCAGACTACTACATGACACTCTTCTTCAACCTCTTCCATCAAGAATGTCTGATGTTCACACATGTCAGTATGGATGCATATTGCCTTTAACATAATGGAACTTGACCACCGCCATCATCGGTCATTCGCCTAACATATGTTGTCAGTCCTTCACTTCATATCACTCATCATCGGCTTTCGCTCAACGACTATTAGTAGCATACCCTCCAACTATCTCCTTCAGCTCTACATCCAGCCATCAACTGCTGTCGTACTTCACCCGATAGTCGATCGTTGATGGACTTCTACTCAATCATCGTCAAAATTTAGTCCTGTTAACAATCGCTGGTTCTCCTCCTTGGTACTTTTACTGCTAGATTTTCTCAAATGAACATCGATACAATAGATAATTGATCTTCATCTGTCAAAGGCGATCTATTGAAAAAGTAAATTCTTATCGTGACTTCTTCTATACAAAAGAGAGAAACTGAAGCTTGATAAGAGATGTCACATATCTCAGACAGTGGAATGCCTCTAATGTAAGAATAAAATCAGAGGAGAAGAAAAATAAAAGAGGACAAAGTTCTTTCTACATTAAAAAGTGGCATTAAATTTTGATAAGGGATGTCACCTTATAAAAATAATGGAAAGCCTCTAAAGTAAGAAAAAAATGGGGAAGAAAGATAAATGAAGGCTGAAAACTATAACTTCTACACAAGATGTGCACTTATAATTGATAGGGGATGCCACCTATTCAAGATAGTGGAAGACCTCAATTTAAAAAAAATTAGAGGAAGAAGGTAGAAAGAGTAGAAGAGCAATTTTCCCCCTATTCTAAGGGAGCTATTTATTGGAGAAAAATGGAGGAATATTCTACAAGCATAAGAATATTTCAAAGATATTCCAAAAATAAGGATATTATGAGAAAATTAAAAAAAAAAACTAAGAATATAAAAAATATATAAAGTAAAAACTGTGTTGTAGATGCGCGGGTTAATACGAATGTTGAACAAAAGAATTTAATGTAGCAAAAACACTATTGCAGAGATTATTGTAGCCGAAATAATTGCATCACGGGCTACATAGCGTAAGAAGATCAGTAGTGCTATAGAAGGTATTGTGGTTGGGCGGTATTGTATCAATACTGTAGCAACAAATTTTATTTTTATTTTTATTTTTTTTAAGAAAACTTTTCTAATTCCTAACTACCCAAAACCCCAAAGCGCGAGCTCGTCGGAGGAGGTGGTGGCGGCGACCGGCCAACCGACCAGTTTGTTAGGCCGCCTTTATGCGTTTGGGCTCGATTTTTTTCCCGGATAGTCCAAATCAGATATTTTTTTGGGTCCCCGAAATTATTTTTTGATATTTTGGATTCAATTTTAGAACTTTTAAAGCTCATTTGAGCATCTATAATCTATTCAGAGCAATTTCAAATATTTTGAAGAGTAATTTTTTAACAATTTTTGCTTTAATCAATGCGTCAACTTCAGAACATCTTCAATTTATAATTAATGGTATTTTACTTAATTCATGGCCCTGAGAGGAGGTCTAAGTTGACATCCAGGGAGCGCTCGTGCCTCGTAATTATTCGAAAATTTTATTTTTGCATTGAAAATTTTGTAAAGCTATGACATATATTTTTGGACTCTGCATGCTTCAACATCCAAAACTATGGGGCAACTGACTTATCATCAAAAAATTATCCTAATCGGACATAAATCTCGAGAAAAATTAAGTTGGAAACTTCTAAAATTAAATATGCGACCATGTGAGCTCCGATTTTAGTAAACTTATAGTTAAACTAAACGTCTCAAAAATACAAACCCAAAGACACCAAATTAGACTCAATCCAAACTCAAAAGGGTCCAAACCGAAGACCCGAAGCGCATTTAGAAGGTTCAAATCATAAATTGGATAACCAAACAGTTCCTAAACATTACATGCTTATAGTCGAATCGAGCGGCTCGATGAGACAAATTCATCGAGCTCAACATCGTTGAATTCTCACAACATTAAGGCACTTAAATACTCAATAAACCATCCATGGTCAAAGGAGTGGATATCAGCCATCCATTTAAAACACTTCAAACATGCCTTTGATCTTCTCCCTATTTACTGGTCATGCCACTCTAAAAAAACTTTAAATAAACTCATCATTCTTCATTGAGTGGTGGGGGGAAGCAAGGAAAAGGAGGGAGGAAATAAGAGAGGAGAGGAAGAGATATCTGAGATTTCTCTTGCCATGCACCAAGCTCTTCTTCGACCATTGCCCCGTCACCGACTGTTGTTGGACTTTTCTAGACTTACGCATTGCCACCAACTATTACCAGACCTACGCCCGTCCACCAATTATCACTGGACTTTCGCTCGATCACCAACTAAAGCCGAATATACACCCGACCAACAATTGTTGTCGAACTTATGCCCGGCCATCGACCGTGGCGCGCTAACTGTGGTCCTTCAGACCTTCGTCAGCGCCTACCTTCATCGACCATGGTCCTTCTAATATGCATCGCTAGACAACAGTCTTTTTTACTACTGTAACCCGCCAACTACTATTCTTCTGACATCTATCATCATACAATAACGATCCATTTTACCACTACCGCCCGCCGACTATATATGGTCCTTTAAACCTTCATTGTCTGACAACGATCTTTTTGAACTATGTTGCATGCCGACTACGGTTCTTCTGACCTCCGTCACCAAACAATTGTCTTTTTTACCATTGTCGTCCGACGACTATAGTACTTCCAACCTCCGTCGCATGACAACGATCTTTCTGACCTCTGTCACCCGCCGACTGCGGTTCTTCCGACCTTCGTCGCCAGACTACGGTCTTACTACCCACGGTCACCCGTCGACCACAATCCTTTCGACCTCCATCGCCACACAACGGTCTTTCAAACCACGATCACTAATGGACTTTTATTCTTACCATGTAATGCGTACTATATGATGTATAATTACTACATCAAACCAAGGCATTCCCTCAAGGAAGGGCCTCATTCGTAATTAACTACAAACACTAGCGGATTCATTTAAACTAGGTCAGGGCCCATGGTTTTTCCACCTTTTTAAGGGACTCCACATAAAAACTCTGGTATCTCTTATGAATGCTACACCCTCCCTTTTATCTGATTGTATACTTGATTTTCGTACAAATCTAAGACGTTAATCTATATTCATACCACTGCGAATATTGCAGGATGCAACAACAATAACTCAATAAAATTAATGAATTGAATGACAAACCATTAAGATTTTATATTTTGGGTGGAGCACCAATTGAAAAACATAATGTCAAAATTATTAGATCTAATGTTGTCCATGAAATTATATCAAAAACTTAGAACTGCCTTATATAATTAAAACCAAGTGTTTGCATGGATCATCTCTCTAGCTTAAGGTAGGTTTGTTGCCTTCACTTAAGTTTTTAAGGTTTTAATTAATTATAATTAAAATTTAATAAACATCCTTAAAGTAATTAATTATAATTATCTTGCTATTTAAGGTTTTAATTAATTATAATGTTGAGTCTTCGGAGAACGATTCCTCCCTACTAAAATTAAAATTAGCAAGAAGACAAATCCAGGCAAGATTTATTCATCTCCCACATAAATAAGATGAAAATGGGAGTAAGCTTATGATTCAGGGTTTAAATAGGGCAATTTTTTTGCTGGATTGTTTTTTAGATAATAATCAGAATACTTAAAAATAAATTTACACAACAGTTTTCACAATCAACTTTATAAAAAACTGCAGTCAAACATACCCTCAATCACTGATTGATGAGCTTTGCTCTTTTCTGCAAAACAAAATGAGCTGAAAGCAAATTGTCAAAGCGCAGCTTTAAGAAAATAATTTGAAAACCATTCATCAAGAGCCTGATTCTTCTTCCGCCCTTCATTAATTTCATCAAACACAAAAACAAGCTGCAATTCCCACACTCAATACTTCTCGGTTGCTACTGCCACTGCTACAGCATGACAACTAAATTATTCATACAGAAACACACAAACCACTTAGTCCGAACCAGCTGCAAACACAAGAGGGCTAAGCGATACAGGCAGATTTAAAAATTCACTAACAGCATATCTCAACACACAGCTGCTGCTGAGCACATAACAATCTAAATGATACTTACAAGAACCTGAAAAAATCTCAGATAACTTATCCAAGCATTGTCTGCAAGCCAATTCCTCAAGATCTCTCGTGCATTGAGCCGTTGCAAATATACTCAAGTTCTTACTCACATGGGTAGCATACATTGAAAATTTCTCATCTATTCCCACCGTCATCGCATTCATCCGATATACTAAATCCATAAGTTCGTAATTGAATTTAATCGGATCCGCCGCGATAAGCCCGGAAGAGAAAACGCGAGTAAAGCTGGTGTCTGGCTCGCCGAAAAATTTAGTAGTGCCATAATGAAGGAAGCAATGGTCGTACCAAATGCGAGTTTCGGCGGAATTCGGACAGAGTGTTCGGATCTCTTCGGTGGCTTTGGTGATGCAAGGTGCGCACTGGTCGACGGTGAGGTTTCCTCGGCACTGACTGAGACCGAAGATAGTGAAAAAGCCGTCGCCGAAGGAGGAGATGCCGAAGCTATCGAGAGAAGTTTTGGCTAAGAGGCTGGAAAGTGTTTTGTTGATGCTGTCTTGAATAAGATTGTCGCTGGTGAAGTTTTTGCTGCATGCATGATAGATTGGGTTGGCATAGGCATCGCAAGTTGAAATTTGGAGGAGGGGGAGGAGGAGGAAGATGAAGAGTTTGCCTGAGAACTCCATTGATTGGTTCTTCTATTGGTTATTTGATTTGACTTGAGGACTTGATTTCCTTCATCTTTTATAGGCAGAGAGCAAGGTTAACTTTTTTTTTTTTTTTTTTTTTTTTTTTTTTATTTTTACACTTAGGCCTATTAAGAAAAACTCTCAAACACCTCGCATGCATACACTTCAAAATTTTTTAATTGGTAGTCAAAAATTTCAACTAACAAGTGAAAGAGATTAACTAATTATTCATTTCCTTTTTACATGTGGCAAATTTTATAATTGAGATATCTTTTTTACAACTATGTTTATTCCTTTAAATATAAAAATTTTGAGAAAGAAATCTAAATATTTTTGAAATTAGAAAAGATATTTCAATAATGAGTAAAACCTAGGAATTATAATCGCATAAATTTTATTAAAAATTGGCAACATATACATTAAAGTATTTCTCATAAAAATAGGGTAAGTTCATCCTAAGATTTATTAGGGTTAGTTCCCCCTTCTATTGTAGTATTTGATCAATTTAATTTACAGATTAGCTAAATTAATTATTTCAATTCTCTATGGCTGAAGGTCTTACCACTATAAATAACTTCATTAACATTTCTAACATATTTTTCAGAACAAAATGAGAGCTTGAACCTGAAACATTTAGATTCTCAATTTTATTTTCAAAATATGTCTCACCAATTCAAGTATGTATTTCTAAGACTTCATTTTATACACCTTTTCGCCGTTACAATTTCATAGATTTCAAAAAAAAATTATATTAGAAAGCTATTTTCACTACAAGAATTCCTGTTATTTCCGGCCAAATTACCCGCCGGAAAAGTCAGACCTCCATATCAAACTAAGCTCCCAACCGAGGTTAGGGCGACCGGTTCCATTCATACTTATTCAATTCCAACATAGTTCCTCAGCTAGTTTGCCCAAACGGTGATCAACCTGAATACCACAAGCAGCATATCAACATGCAGAAATCTATAAATCCACCTGAAAAAACAGCCTTACAGCGACAAAGCTTAACATAGACAACCAAGAAAGAGAGAACATTCGAGCTACATGGATCAAAAGGACCAATTTGTATTCAGTCGGAGCTGAATATTATGCCTTCTTCGCCTTGGAAAGAGCCTTCTTGCGCTGGCCGAGCATGTAAGTATACAGATGGGGGCTGCCTGCAATGAACGTTAAGACACATTGATTCACTGAGGGTTCCCAAAATAAACTGTCATCTTTCATAAAAGGGAGAAGAGGCTACCTGGAACATAAATGCCAAGAACCAGAATAGCTGCATAGAAGTAGTCAAAAGAGAAGTTCCACTTATTGGGCATTCTTATGCAGTACTTCTCAGATGCCTGCATTCCACCATCAACAACATCATTGATTCAAGCTAGCAACTCATTCACTATGGTAAACAAAATTAATTTGCATGAAAACAACAACTGCAGCTCAAAAAAAAATGTCTGGAAAAACTATAGCAGGCTATAAGGGGTACAAACAGATCGGGTCTGCGGCCGAGTGGTCGACAAAAGAAATTTCTCCCATCTCACCCGGGCTCGAATCCCCTAACTGTCCCCAAAAAAAAAAATTAACGGGTACAAAATAAATAGCATTATCATCATCATCTAACTTACCCAATCATTTTAGTTCCGGTTTACGAAACCTCATTTATTGTTCACTTTTATTGAGTATTGACGACAAGTTTAAGGCTTTATTTGGGATACTTTCTTATTGTTTTTCATAGTAGCTTCCTAGCATAAAAAATTCTTGGAAGAAGAGAAAAATTAGTGGCCAAAAGCAGTCCTAAAGGAAGCCTAAATATGTTCTTTTTAAATTCTTTTGAATGACTTCTACATTTTGTTAACTTAAGTCTATTTCTCTTCGTTAATTTTCTGGCATTAAATTTATCTATTCATTTTATGTGCAATTTTTAACATTCGTTGAACATGCATAAATAGTTTTCCACCATTAAATATTTACTTTGCTATGAACTGTTTTTATTACTCCCATTTTTAAATAACTAAAAAGAAAATAAAAAATTAAAAAAAAACTAAAAGGAAAATAAAAACTTTGAATCCTTTTTTGATTTTAACATATTATGATAATATTAACAATAAATACATCCTTAATTATATTGTAGAATGCTAGAAACAACAAGGATGTTGTGATGCGTGAGAATCATGAATTATTTTGCCAAGAAATAAAAGAACTTATTTTATGCATTTTTTTAATATATATGGGTAACGAGGTGTTTACGTTCATTGATAAATACCATTGTGATCCCAGAATGAATGAGAAAAGTAGAGGACGAATGTTAAGTTTATATTCAATTGTAAATCTCACATACACTACATGAAAGTCAGCTTTTTGCAGCGGATTTTTTTTGGCGAAAATGACTGCAAATTTGCAACGAAAATTTTCAACTATCTTTTTGTAGCGAATTTGTGGAGGAATATCTGCTGCAAATTTGCGACGGCAAATCCGCTGCAAAACCGACACTAACTGACCTATCTAATCGATTGAATATGCATCCATTTCATTTGTTATGTTTATCCGCCTCATTTGATTTTGGCTTCAGAGCTTCTTAGCCTCCTTTGACAACATTCCTTCCCGTGGACTCTCCTCTTTCAACTCTCCTCCTTCAACGATGTTCCTTCCCGTGGCCTCTCCTCCTTCAACGACGTTTCTTCACATGGCCTCTCCTCCTTCGATGATAACGCTCGCATTCATGTCACCACCTTTGACGACGTTCCTTCCTGTTGCATCCAAAGTCGCCACCTTCAACGACGTTCCTTCTTGTTGCATCAGAAGTCACACCTCTCGCCGCTCTTCTCTCGCATCCAAAGTCACACCTCCTTCGCAACGACGGGAGCTTGGTCTTGTGAAGGTATCCATCCTTCTTCCATTTGCACACTTCATCCAAATCTTTCAATTGATCGGCCGAGCTTTGTTGCAAAGGTATGTTTTTTGCTGATGATATTCTTCTTATTAATAAGATTAGACATGGAGTTGAAGATAAACTTGAATTATAGAGGTCAACATTAGAGTCTAATTTTAGGAATTGTGACTTTGGGCAATCAAGTCATTAATAAGAGTACACGTTTTAGATATCTTGGGTCTATTGTTCTTGGTGATGGTGAAATAGATGGAGATATTATTAGAATAAATCAAGTTGGATAGTTGAAGTGGAGGAATGCATCAAGCTTGTTGTATGATAGATCAGTCCCACTCAAACTTAAGGGAAAATTCTATGAGATGTTGTGAGACCTGCAATGCTTTTATGGTGAAAAATGTTGGCCATTAAAAAAGAAGCATAATATTAAGTTAAGTGTTGCAGAGATGAGGATGCTCGAGTGGATGAGTGTCTTTGATCTTAGAGACAGGATACGAAATGAGCATATTCATGAAATGGTTGGAGTAGCTCCAATGGAAGATATAAGAGTAGAGAAAGTCGTCTTAGATAGTTTGGTCATATATATGCGCATTTTGTATGGTTGAAGTAGAGGAATGCATCAGGCTTGTTGAGTGATATAAAAGTCTGCCTCAAACTTAAAGGATAATTCTATAAGATGTGGTAAGACCTACATTGAGACCTGCACTATTTTATGATGTAGGATGTTGGCCATTCAAAAAAAGCATAATATTAAGTTAAGTGTTGCCGAGATGAGGATGCTAAGATGGATAAGTGGCTTTACTCTTAGAGATAGGATATGAAATGAGCATATATGTGAAATGGTTGAAGTAGCTCTAGTGGAAGATAAGATTAGAGAGAGTAGACTTAGATAGTTTGGTCACATTTATATTCATTTTGTATGGTTGAAGTGGAGGAATGCATCAGATTTGTTCTGTGATAGAATAGTCCCCATCAAACTTAAGGGGAAATTATATTAGATGGTGGTGAGACCTGCAATGATTTATAGTGCAGAATGTTAGGCATTAAAAGAGAAGCATAATATTAAGTTAAGTGTTGCAGAGATGTGGTTGCTAGAGCATGTTTCTTGTATCAAAATAAATTTTGAAAAATGCGGAGCAACTTGCATGAGAAATGTTCACATGCATTAGGAGGACAGGCGAGCGACCGCTTTAGATTAGAGAGAGTGTATGGGTCGAGCTCATTACTACTTGAGGCAGCCCAGATTATACAGCGAGCAGGGAGCAGAACAAACATAATCGAGCTTCTAATGTTGGAGGCCTGGGTACCTCTCTCTATATTAGGGACTCAATTTCACATATTGACCACAAATAATGATTGGTAAGAATTTTAACATATTTTAATATTTTTTTGGTTATGCATTCTAATCTAAGTATATTGCAGAATGAGATGTTGGGTAGAGAACTCATTGTTGTTGAGTTACACAGTCACACTCACAAGCCTCAAGAGGATCAGCAGTGGGTGGATGAGTGAATAAAGAGGGCCTATGTAAGTATATATGGTTATAATTCTTAATGAAATAATGTAAGTGACGATTATACGATGATTAATATTATATTTTGAAGAAAGAGTATACACGGCTTCGAGATAGCCATGCTGTAGCTAGTGAGGAATCCTCTGGGGTTCTGTAGATATTTCTGACTACTGCACTTGATCGCAAGCGGTAGACGAAATACAGAAGGGACGTGTTTATGGATTAGGCTCGCAGGCCTACGCATATGAGGGATAGTCCTCTTCGTCCTCCAACCAATCTGCAAACAGCTATGCGAGATTGTATAGCCAATAGATGATTTGACATCATAGATAAAAAATGCCTGAAAATCACAAGCGGATATTAACATTCAGATACTGGATGAGCTTTGGAGATTGAGAGATCAGATTGGCCGAAAAATCAGCCTGAATCTGTTCGGCTAAGCAGGAGAGTGAGGATACAGATTTTGATTAGGTTGTCTTCTTAGATTTTTGATGCATTTTATATTTTTTTATTTATAAGAACGATGTTTACTTTAACAGTGTTGTAGTAATTGTTGTTTGTTAAATTTTTGGCCTTATTAACTACTGCTTTTCAATTGCTAGAATTGTTATTCTGAAAAAGCTTAATAACTAATAGCAGGTGCTATTTTTTGTCTATACTATAGATTTTCAATGTATTTGCAAAGGAATTTTCGTCGCAAACTTTGAAGCAAAGAAGGTGTATCGTATTTTGTGACGGAATATTCAGTCGCAAATTATGACGGATTTGCGGGGGAATCAGCAACGGGTAACTAAAATGAGGATGCCATTTTCTGGAATTTAAATATGCCATAAATCCGTTGCAAAAATTTGCGTTGTATTTTATCCATCACAAATACTTTTACGGCGCGACTTTTACCGTTGTAATTTGTTCCGCCGCAAATCAAAATTTGTGATGGATTTGGCTTGTTTTGCGGCAGATTTGTCTACCGCAAAAAAACTGATTTTCCTATAGTGATAAAAATGCTACTGAAATGAATCCAAAGTAAAAAAGCATAAATCACCACATTACCATCAAATATTCCGAAATCTAAAATTTAAGGACTTGCTTGAAACCATTTTTAAAAAAAAATGATCGGTTGATACTTTCTAGCTTTTTCTAATTTTTAAAAATAAAAAAGTTGTTTTCAAAAATACATAGAACAACTTTTAACTAATTTTTCAAGCATATTTATTTTTTTAAACAAAAACAAACCAAGATGGCCACCGCCATCACCCATCACCCATCACCAACCTTATCTTGCACAAATAAAATCATGCAATATTCAATAAAAATAAAAATAAAATATATTTAAAATATCAAATATATTATAATTTAAATCAAAATATAAATAAAATGAATAAAAAATTAAAATAAAAATGATTCCAATTGGCTCCTCAAATAAATAAGGCAAGCAAAACTAAATCAGTTGACATGATCTCTGCTTTCTAATCTCCATAAGATAACATAAAGCAAGGGTGATTTAAGTCGCCAAGCAATTACCTTTATGTATGGCAAGGCTATATAAATTAGGCCCACCTCACTACTTATCCCTGTGGGATACAATATCAAAAAAGTGCTGTACCTGCATAAGCAGAATTTGACATGAACGGTGGGGTCTGACAGTAAGTAGCAACATGAAAGCAAACAGATGCTTACCTTAGCCATAAGTGCCAAGAAGATGAAGCACCAATAGCTTCCTTCATACCAAAGAAAGAGTACCTAATTATCTGTTAAGAGGGAATAATAAAATAGATTATGCATTAATGGCGCAAACAAATTTCAAGCATGGAGATTTTTTTTAGCTCTTTGGCTGATATTAATACTAACAACGCATTCATATTTAATTGCATTTATGTTGGTATTGGCCAAGCAAAATTTATTCAACAGCTTCCCAACTGCCTTTGGAAAATCATTATCAACCGCCTCATTAACTCTTAAAAGCAACCAAGTGACAGTCCGCATTACATAACTCCAATCATTTTCCATTGTTTGAAACGTTCTCGTGGAATTAGAATTTATTGTTGTTGTCGGGGTTATTTGTTGACTCATTATTTTTATTCACTTCCGTATAATTTTTTTTTTTATATTTTGTCCCAATTTTAAGTTTTTTTGAGGTCATAGATTGTATCTTCTATGTAATACTCAGACTAATTAATGAATACTGACCGTGGCCCTCAATTTTCCAAAAAAAATAAAAAAAATCATTCACGAGTGATTTACCACTTGCAATGCCAAGTTTTTTTATTTTCTTTTGTCAAACCTTTAAGTCTTCATAAGAGGCCGAGTTAGTCCAGATATTTAATGTTACCATAACTAATTTATCACATATACTAACTTATCATAACAGGAAGATGTCCCAAACGAGATTAATAAGTTAGCCCCAAAGAGGGTGAAATAAACCTCATGGCCCTGGTTTAACAATGATAATCGTAATTTAACTTAAATAATTAGTAATAAATCACCCATAAACTAAACTTTTGTAACCCTCATTACATTCAACTTGGAGAGCAAGCATATATTAAATATTAAATCCTAAAACATTAATGTGATTAGTAACATATAAAGAACATGTATATCTTTAACGTAATCAAATTCGTCAATGAAGTTTATAGACTAGACTACCTTGAGCTGCAATGCTATATGTCCTAAGGAGATTTCGTCCTCGTGCCAACGTAAAGAACCGATTGACGGTAAAATTCAATATAAATTCTCTCTCTTAGAAATTTAAAACCACCCTTAGGAACCCCACCCAATTCCTTAACCACCCAAGTGTTAAACCTTAAGTCAATAGAACATATACATATCGATAGGTAGTGAGTTTTTTAATCTAATGTCAGCCTCTAAAAATAAATCTACCTTAAACATAGGAAACATAGATTTTTTTTTTTTTTTATGGTGTATGATAGATCCACTTAGTGTGTCACATATTAGCTTTACCTCGAGTCTTAGATTACCAATGAAGGATTAACCGACTCTTGCCACTTTATAACTCTTACAGTCTTAGCTAGTTGCAGGATTGAGGATTCTCACTTCTTTATAACACTAGCATGAGTCAGGGCCCATGTATTTGGGTTATATGCAATCTAATTATTAAAACTATAACCCTAAAATCAAATAATAATTAATTAATCATAAATGACTAATCACTTAAAGACAAATTTGAGAACTAATAAATTAAACAATAAGAATTTGATCTAGTAACTTAAACCTCTCACCTAATTTGAGGTAGTTAGGTACACTAATTTTTGCGCACACTTAGGTGCTAGATAAGGCACATTTTCATAGGCATCCTAGGGTAGGGTGTAGCTAGGGTAATATTTTATATTTTCTTTCTTTTACATTTTGCATATGTGATGATGTGCTGGTTCTTTTATGCCACCACTTGCATCATGTTTCTTTATATGATGACTTTTCAAGAAGAAATAAGAGCAATGCTACTAACAATCAAACAAAACATTGAATTTTTAGCACTTATGTTACTCGATACATCATATACACGAAGAATGTGAAATACGAGAAGATGGTGAGCCAACATTACACCTTTCTATATAGATATGATGGTGAGCATGTGTGACTTGATGGATATAATTAGTATTTCTCATATATTAATCCAACTTCTTGAATCATTACATATGTATAGATGAACTTCGCTCAAAAAAAAAAAAAAAACAATGAATAAAAACAAGCTTCCCAAATAAGAATCCTTAAAATCTACCAATAAACAAAGCTAATGGTATATGGAAAAAAACATTTGAAACTACTAATCATTTTTAACCAATAACTATAGAACAATATTTCCAATAAACATGCTAACAAAATGCTGGAGATCAAAGAGTGATGTTCATACCTCTGTTATGGACCAGCTAATAACCAGAGAGCTAACAAGAAAATGTGTCCTGGTCTACAAGAGGCACACTCGTTAGCTAAAGCAATTTTCTTAATAATATTGGCAAAAGAGCAACAATTTCAAAGAAGAAATCAATACCTCTGGAAAACTCCACAAGATGCCCCAAGTAACATACAACCTTGAAGCAATCTGTGGTAGGGTGGCCGAAACTGGAGATCTCACTAGGCCTTTTCCAGTACACCAAATTTAGACAATAATTAAAAAAAGTTTTTTTTAATATAAATAATATTCGGGCTATTACTATTTTAGGTCTAGTTAATGTTTGACATAAGAAAATAAATAAATAAATAATATTCTGACTAGGAGTTGAGCAAAGAAAAGAAAATATTTAGAATGAGATAAAACAAAAGAAAGCAATGGATGTCAATTCTTGTGTTTATTATTGGGAGTTATATCGAATAAAAAAATTATTCATTTTATTATTAATTAAAAGTTGAAGAAATAATATACTTATATATATATTATATATATAGTATATATATATATATATATATATATATATATGAATTTAACCCTATAATACCCCTTTCCCCCTTATATATTGAAATTTAGAATATAATCTGTTCTTTAAAATCATGTTCCTTTAAGAGAAAGAATAGTATGTGTACTAAAAAATTCAAGGTTTTTAAAACCGGACCGGACCCGGCCGGTTCAACCAGTTGAACCGCCAACCGGTCGGCCGGCCGGTTACAGTTCAAACCAAAACCGGTAAATCATAAAACCGGCATCCAACCGCTCGAACCGGCGGTTCGACCGCCGAACCGGCCCCGGTTTTTGCTAACCGCCCGGTTCAGCTAACGAGCAATTTTAGAGAAAATGAGTAATCGGACGGCTGAGATGCGATGGTGATGCTTCATTATGCGAAAAAAAAAAACCCTATTTCATTTGTTTGTCGCGTCGCTTGCTTCGTTTCCTCTGTTCGCCCTTCTTTCTCTCGTGTGCTTCGAACGAACGACGAGTCGACGACGAAGCTGGGAGAGACGAACGACCTCTTCTTTTGTGCGCACATCATTTGCAGGTTAGTCTTTGTTTAGGGCATGCTTTCCTCTCTCATTTTGGTCGGACAATTGTGGCCTTTGTTTGGGGATTTGTTTGCAGGTGAGTTTTTTTTTTTTAATCGGTTTCATTCGCCATTTGCAGCAACCGAAGGTCCGAGAGCTGAGATTTTTTCTTCTTCTCTTCAATTTTCCTAATTAGCAAGAAGACCTAATAGCTACAGGTTTTCTTCCTTCTCTAATTAAATGGTTACAACTTGCTTTGCTCATAAGTTGATTAGTTAGATTTTTTTGCACTGGTTACAACTTCCATTTGTGCATTTTGAAGTATGTTGTTGCAACTTCTTTTACTCTCAAAAATCCAAATGAGATTAATCTTCTTTTTAATACAAAAGTTGTTCTTCTTTTAAATCTTCTTTTAATATGCTGCAATTTGTTGTTTGCTTTCCTTTGTTATTGATGCGTTAGAATATGTTATTGATGCAATATGCTGCAGTTTGCTTTCCTTTGTTATTACTGGATATTGCAATTTGCTGCTTGCTTTCCAAAAATTGAAGAAGATTGCTGCAGTTTCATGTTTTTTTCCTTTATTTTTTTTGCATTTGTATATTAATATGTTTATGAATCATACCAGGAATCTAATTACAACGTAAAATTTGTCTTTTTTTACAATCTTAGTTCAATTATAGCTGAACCAGATAGCAATATGTGCATAGTTCCTCTTAAATCTGAATGTTTATCTTGATTAGGTGCAACAAGGTTAGGTTTAGAGTGAATGTATTAGAAGAAAATTTCTCATTTATTTTTAAATTATTAATAATATTATTATTTATTATGTCATCCGGTCGGTAGAACCGGTCGACCGTGAACCTCTCATTCTTCCGGTTTTCACAGCCTTGCTAAAAATTACTTTTTTTTTCCTCTAGCTACCGTTTGTTCTGAAAGAGAGATCAAATCCTCTATATAAAATAAACTATTTCCTCAAAATTTCTTTCTTTTCTTCTCAATTAAACTACAAATCAACAGAAAATTATAAGTTTCTAATTAATTGTTCTCTTTTTTCTTCAATTTTCAACTCTCAATCAGAGTGTAAGAAAATTCAATACAGAGCCATAAAAAAAAAACCCACAAAACTCAGTCCTTACCTAGAAGACCATGCAATATCTGAAAAATAAAAATAAAAACCAAATCAGAATGACTGCAATCAAACCAAAAATTGAAACCTAAAAAAGGCATCTTGCCGACCTCCAAAACAGCGGCGCTCTGCGCGAGTAGAAGAGGCCTCTCAACGGCATAATACACCCGCTCGTGCCCGGATTCCTTGAGCGTCTTTAAAGCTAAGTAGAAAACCTGGAACCTGCAAGTCATTGAAGCGGATCAAGACGGAAAGATAAAAAGAATCTAGGATTTGGGAAGAAGAAAGTGGAGAGGGCACCATCCGACAAAGACTGCCCAGTTGTAGGCGGACAGGTACAGACGGCGGACGCCGGCGAGGAAGCTGCCCATCGGAGATGGTAGAAGCCGGCGGAGCAGAGGCGGAGAAGAGCTTGATGCAGTTAGCGGGGAAAGATCATAATCTATTGGAGTTTTATACAGTGGGAGTCATTGATAGGCTTTGCGCACATGGAAGAGGAGTAAAGAGGTTGATGACGGGAGTAGATCACCATTCCCCAACTAAAAGGTTGCAGCTTTAATTGCATTGTGCTTCGCGAGAGCCAATTCCAAAATGACCCATAAATAATTTTACTTATTAAAAGGTTGTCGAAACAGGTCAACCCAAAATTGATACTGCCTGAATTCAAACAACCCACAAACAGCCCCAACCCAACCCACAAACAGCCCAAACCCGAACTGATAATAATTAAAAAAAAAACATTTTTTATTAACATGTTAATCATATATTTTAGATTAATTAATCAAAAATGAGAAAATTATATCAACAAATAAAAGAATTTAAGAAAAAAAAAACTTTTAAATAGATTTTTTTATAAAAGACATGTTAGTTGATCAATTTGAACTCGGCCTATTTAATAAATGGGTCAGAAATTGATGACACAAATCTGAAATGTTTATTAAATGAGTAACTCTGAATCTGAATTTTTTGGATCTGACAATTTATTGACACCCCTATCATTAATTATGTTTACAACTAAATTCTTGGCCATTTTCATTTACAACCTTATAACTATCAATAATGTCAAAATAAATTACCATACCACCTTACTATTAATTTTTTGGGTGATTATATATTATTCACAAATTCTCTTAAAAAGCGTTTATTTTTTTCCTTATCTACTTCAACTAAAATGTTAGCTTAGTGAATTAAAATTATTTCTCAAGCCTAAAACCATGCTTAAATGAACATTATTCCATCAAAGCAATAAAATTTTTCTCCCAAAAATCTTCCATTTTTTCTAATGAAGGGAGATCATTGATTCACAGTCTTCCCCAACTTTTTTAGCAATTTGAGTGATGCCATAATAAGATGGAAAGCATTTTATTGTTAATTAGGGCCATAATAATAATTATCATGATTGATGTGTTTCTGAAAAAGTATAAGCATCCAAATTAGTTTAATCATCTCATTATGAATGTAAAAAATTTTGTATGATCCCCAAACAATTAGGGTCGCACAAGAAGATTGAGTTGGTCAAAATCTTAATTATAAAACAAAAAAGTGGAAATGCTGCTTACATCAATAGTAATTTAATTTAAGATGAACATTAATAGATTTATTAGTCAATCTAATGATAGAACTTTGCATGCTTATCTTATTAGATTAGAGATAGTCAAATTGCTTTTATGTATATGTTCATATTCCATCAAGAAGATATATACGCTTACATATTTCCAAGCACCTTTTAGAAGAATAATCAAGATGTGTCAAAATATATTTTTGGGACCGTTTAGATCAAACTTGAAATTGACATGCTCTTAACACGTCTGACTCGAATCCGCCATGTTTAGATAAACATGTTAAAAATATAGACTCGAACTTGACCCGACGTCAATCCGACTTGACACGACTCGACGTGTTAACCCAGTTAAGTGGGACGGTCTAGTGCAAGTAGGCAAGTAAGTGCAAGCTATCAGGTAAGGGGGCTAGTGTGAACTAGGGGGTCAGGGCGTGCTAGCGAGTGTGAGCTAGCGGATGAACAAGTACAAGCTAGAAGGCGAGCAGGGCAAGTGTGAGTGGGGCGAGGAAGTGTGAGCTAACAGGCAAATGGATGTGGGCGAGGGTGAGTGCAAGCGATTGAGGGAAGAGAGTGCGGGCAAGGGAGAACGAGAGAGGGCAAGAGCAAGCAGCGAGCACGAGCATGACTGACAAGATGTGATCGAGAAAGCAGATGACGAATGGGTTAAACATGTTTCATTCGGGTTTGCAGGTTATGTAACAGCTCAAACTCTTAACTATCGAGATATTGACTGCTTTGGCTTAAGGGCCTCACATTTTTGTCATATTGTTGTAACTTCTTAGAAGGTCACCCATCTCAGGATTTCTCAAGGATGAGCATGCTTAACTGCAGAGTTTCTTAAATGTAATTTCAACCATTACACCAAAAGGCCTCTTGATGTTTAAGAGTTTAGCTTCTTTTACTTACGGGGTTTCACAGTTCAATCACGTAGAGTTCAACTCTTTCTGCATGATTGAACGATTCTAATTTCATTATATATCCATTTGATCCTACATTACAACCTAATGAAACTGCAACATTAATCGAGTTGTTGGATTCATCCCGCATACGATCAAATGGTTAATAGATGTCACCAAGCTGGATAAGTGGATCCAATCATGTGAGCACTACCTTTCATGCGACCCATTTGCTTGTCACTACGTGTGAAGGCCCTGACCCATCAGCATCACCACTGACAGAGATTTAATATCTATTTATTAAATATATCTAATCCCTAAAATTTTTGGAAAATCATAAGAAATTCACCTCTCAACCAAATTAATAAATAAATACTCTATGGATTTGGATTTTCAAGATCTTTATTTTAAAAATAAATTAAAGGAAATTACTTATTGTTTAAAGAGTAATTTAACCTTATGTCTTTATGGAACTTTAATAATTACTCCATGAATATTCCTTGGATTGAGCTCAATTTTGGCAAGGATTTATTGTGGGGTGTTGCACATCTTCTATAATTTTCTTAGCCCCAATTGAGTAACCCATTGAACTCAATTGAATTTTTAACTGAATGGGTTAGAATTCACCACACTCTACCCACATGGACTTAAGACACCAAATAAAAATTGTATGTTTATATGTCTACAAGGATTAGACACATGGGCAGAGTCTGGATTTTTTTCATGTGGGGGAACAAATCAATGAAGTAAAAAAAAACCCTCAACCTTTTTCATCCAGGCTTGGGACCGGCATGGCGATTTTAGTTTTTTTTTTTTAATTATTAGATTCATTATAAAAAGATAAAATATACGATAAAGCAAAAAAAACTTACAATTGAGAACACTAAATCTTGATATTCTTCTTATATATCATCTATAATTTCTCCCTTCGATTCTTCATTTTTTGAAATTGTTGTATAATTAAGTCATTGGCATTATTATTAAATATGTCATTGCCAATATAAGTAAGTAAACAGTCATTTATCCAAGAGTCTCCCATATGATTACATAAATGATTTTTTATAATGTTTATTGTAGAGAATGCTCATCCAATTATTGTTGTAGCAATTGATAATATCAGAGCAAGCTTTCTAAGTAAGAACGCCAAAGGATAAATATAATTTTTTATAGTATCCACTATTTTCTTGAGCAAGTTCTCCAAATTCTTTTAAATTTATATATGCATAAGTCGATCTCATAATCAACAATAAAGTTCTCAATTTAATTGTCTAGTATAATGAGATTCGTTTCTAAAAAAAAAATTGATGGATAAAATTTTGCAATGCATAATAATCATTCTTTATCAAAAGCTAAAATACTGCTATGGATTCAAACATACCACACACATAAGTAATTTTATATTAATTTTATCAAACATATTTGTGGATCTCCGAAAGGACACCACTTAGTGGGGAAAAAGAGTGTAAAGGGTACACGATCGCACTATCCCGAAGGATGAGACGTTCGTAGGCCTTCACGCTCTTCGCAAGCGGGCTAATGGGAGGGCATATTAGATCATGCATATGATCAACCATTGAGGATAACGACTCTCGTTAGCGCACCCTAATGGGTGATAATATGCACGACCTGATCAGTGTCACGGGATTTTCCCTACTCGATACATCAGCTCGAGTGGAGTTTATTTGTTGTGAAATTATGTTTCCCACGGGCGCAAGCCCCCGTGATTAATTACATCTCAGAAATACTCTCGATTAATGATATGATATTATTCCTTTCTAAAGAAGAGGATTGGCATAGAGATGAGACTAGTAAATCCTACTCAAAGGAAAAGAAAGGGTTCAAGTAGGCTTAATCAACACACACGATTCATCTTAGCATCCAGAGGGATTAAGGCACTAAGAAGCAACTAAGGAAAGAAAAACAACACACTCAAAGCATGCAAGGGGAAAGATGCATGGAGGTGGCGTCATCCATACGATGTAGATAGACATGATTTATAGCTCTTGATGAAAAGGAGACTTACCCACTGATTAGGCATACTATGAGAAATCCAATGTAGTAGCCTTGAATCCCACACCTAAGGTGGGTTTAGTGTTCTACATCCAACACTAACATCTGTATCCTAGCTAATGCATATGAGCTTATATCCTGCATGAAAAGAAAAACCAGCTAACCACATATGTGTGTAAAATTCATATTGTCCAGTCTTTATAAAAGATGGGTATGTATGCTAAGTATTTTAGAAGTAAGGCCGACATCTAGAGAGTTTCCTAATTGCTCTTGGACTTATGTAGGGTGAATGCTCCTAGAGCTAATGCAATTAAAATTTTAATTAAGTTTGTTTCTAATACAACGCATACTAGTTTAAAATGCTTCAAATCATGAATGTATAGAATTTTAAAAAGGCTTATAGAAAATAATTTTTAGAAAACACTAGACTTTCTCAGGTTCGGCACCTCATTCTCATTGGCCAGATTATTCGGACTCTACCCGCATACAGGGAAGTGTCTTATAACAAGAAGAAAGAAGAGGAATGTATTAATATGTATGTGATCCCCGACGATTCTGACTATTCCCTAATATTAGATTTCTAAGTTATTTAATTCCTAAAATATTAATTTTCAATTATGAATAGAAAAAGGTTTTAGTCCTTAAAGAGCCTAGCGAATAAATCAGGCCAAGCACATACAAGAAAGAAATATAAAAAAAATATGCAATTTCTATTACACACAAAGTAAATACATCAATATAAATCCACATAGAGTAAAGTAAGAAATTCTACGGCAAGTGTCGTATAAGTATAACCCAGGATCTGCAGAAAAGTAGTGGTGGTCAGGCCCCACCAACAACAACTTGGATTCTAATCCAATTGAATGACGCAAGTCTTAAAAGCAATATATTTCATCTTTAATTCTTCATCTTCGAGTGGATCATCCTCCTCCAGATTATCTTCTTTCGGATCATCTTCCTTCGGATCATCTCCTTCAAGCTCCGTAGGGTTCGTCCTCTAGAAGGGTACCCAAATGACTAAGAAATTCTTCATGAGGGCCTTTCTTTTTCTCTTTGGATATCGAGTATTTGAAATGCCTCACTTTTGAAGACTTTAACAACTCGATATGAATTACATCAAATTAAGTTTAAAAGAGAAAATCTAAACTCTGACTAAACCTGTAGGATTATCCTAAGAAAATATACCAAGCAATTTATATAATACAACCCAAGTAGTTAATATTTGTGCATAAAAGGTAAACACACTTGACCACGTTCTTTTGATTTTTTTTCAAAGTGGGTTAAGCAGTCTTTGGAGCATATGTAAAAAATATTGTTAGTTTTAAAGCTTTAATTATTTTGTCCCTTTTATTTTAGTGTTGCATGAGTGTTGCCACATGTATAAGATTGAGTTAGTAGTAAAAGTGTCCCTAGCCCATGTGTGATCTATCACATATATCACATCATAAGAAAAATAAAAAAGACACATCAATGAAATAAACAGTCATCACAATAAACCAGAGCAATCAAATTATTTTGCATGAACTACCAATAATATTTAACAGAATAATCATAATATTAAATAATAAATCAACTTAGACATGATTTTTTATGACTGCAACTAATACTAATTGGAGTTGTTGTACAAAATAATGTACATAATAAGCTAAATAATTTTTTTTCATAATTATTATTTTTAGCCATTAAACTCACCTCGCATATTACTTACTCCGTCGTAACCTTATCCATGTAGTTGTGCCACACTTAACTTATAATTCAAAAAAAGTGATTCAATAACCATCTTTAGTGTTAGAGTTGATGTGTCCCCAACATGAACAATCCCAATAAAATGCTCAATAATGCACCCTCAGGTATCAATGTAACGTAATGCAATAGCTTTATTTATATCTTCATTATGACAAACAAGAAAACATAAAAGTTCAAGAAATTATTTTTTATTATTTGAATCCTCATATTCATTATGTCAACGGAATGCTAATCCTTGTTGCAAAAGGAAACATATACAATTAACACTTACATTTAATTGTGTATGATAATCTCTGCATTTTTTTATCAAAAGGTCTTTTAAAAGCAAAACTAATATCTCTTTTTGATTCATTAAATCTTCACATTTACGTATAACAAAATTGTGTGCACTGTTGATAATACCAATATAAATATGAAATTTATTCTTTTTTTTTGAATTTCTAAAACCCTTTGTATCAAAACTGTCACTATTAGCATGTTCACCATTATGAGATCTATATATATAAAAAAAACAAATAATAAGCTGCATCTTTGCTTATATTATATTCTAACCAAGATTTGTGTTCATCAAATCATGCAAGATTAAATCTATAGAATTTATCTCCAATTTTTGTGAGTGGGAATTCATGACCATACGGTTGACATAGTCCTTTCAACAAGTAATGTCTCTGAACACTATCCCTCTCATTAGGATGATAATCCATAATTTTTTCTCAATGCAATATTGACAGGGATATTAACAAAATTTGTTTCTACAAAGTTTTGCTGAATTTGTATATTGTTTTTCTCACATAAAATATTTTGATCATCTCATTAAATTTTTTTTTTGAAATACCTTTCCATATCTAATTTTAATTAAAACTAGATTAAGAATTTTATGCTTGTAACAAAAAAAGAATATATGCCAATCAAAAAATAAACAACTAAAAAATATAGCTATCAACTGTTACAGAGCAGTAGAGCACTCGCAATCCTTCACTTATGGAAATATTTCTGAATGAAAAAATTACGACATTAACAAGTATACGAAATTGCAGAATTAAGTTCTATTTAATTGTAATTTCAAATAAGCTTGACAAAGGAAAATTGCAAGAAACATAATTTTATAAGCTTGTTTATACAAATTGCAATAGCAAGATTTTAAAAAAAAATCCACTCACCTAATCATATCATACAAAACAAAATCGGCTTAGCAAAGAAAAATAAAAAAATAAGGAAACAATTAAACTAGTTTTAATTATTAATAAGATATTAAATTTAATTAAAAGGATTCCAAAAACTAGGAAACATTTACCTTCATAAGAGATCAGAGAAAAAATACTGTGATTGAAATATATTTCTCAATATCAGAGAAAAAAATATATGATTGCAGCTTTCTCACAAAATAATTGCAATTTATTTCTCAAAATAATATATTACATTTACCTTAACAAACAAAAGTAAAAGCAGAACATCAGAAAACTGCCGATTGCAGTCCACCAACAGTCGGAAGCTAACGGCGTTAGACAAAACATCAGAAATCAATTCTTTTTGGAATCATTAGAGAAAAAAAATTCTGATAACATCAGAGTTTTTGCAATTGTTCACTTAGAGAAAACATCAGAAAAACTGAAAATCTGCTTCAGAATATTAGTATATTACCTTTTGATTCCTGATAACATCAAAACTCAGAAGAATATTACCTTTTGATTCTTCAAATGTCTCAAAGAGACAAGAACTTCGCACAGGAAAACTGCAGACTGCATTAGCCATCCGCCTCGTTCATCGTCCCATCGAAAAATTATTAGATGCGGAGTGCGCAACGTCCGCACAAGCACTGGGTACCTAGAGCAGTACCGAGTGCGGTTACTGCTAGGTACCAAATGCTTGTGCGTAGGGGTGTCAATATTTGACACGACCCGAAAACCCGACTTGAACCCGACACGAAAATTTCGGGTTCTGGTCAACCCTAACTGGTTCGGGTTAGAGTTTTCGACCCGTTTCAAAAACCGGGTCGGGTTCGGGTTGACCCGGAAACCCGAAAATAACCCGTATTGACCTGCTGACCGAGCTGCCCGCCGCGTGACCGAGCTGCCCGCGTGACCGAGCGGAGCTGCCCCCCGCTGCGCTGCCCGGCTGACCCGCTCGATTGACGCGTCGCATCCCGCGTCGCGTCGCTTCTCCCGCTTGCGTGACTGGCCAGCAGCTGGCCCCTTTGTCGCGACTCGCTTGACGTTGTCGGACGCCAGATGACGGATCGCCGATGCCGCGTGACCGAGCTTCCTGTCGCGTTTTGCTGCTGTCGGACGCCAGCTGATGGATCGCCGTGGCCGTCGAAGCCGCCGGATGCCGCTGCCGCGAATCTGCGCACGGGGTTGCCGTGTCCCCGGGTTGGGTCTGGTTGACCCAAACCCGTAGCGGGTCGGGTTTGGGTCCGAAAAATCGACCTGTTTGTAAAAATGGGTCGGGTTTGGGTTGACCCAAATTGAGCCGGGTCATTTCTGGATTCGACCCGACCTGTGACCCGAAATTGACACCCCTACTTGTGCGGACGATTCTCTCTGTCCGCACTCCGCACCTAATAATCTCTCAAATGCCGTCACAAGCCGGTGAGCCGCGGTGAAGAAGAAAGCAGCAGCCAGCGGCGTTTCTATTCTCGTCGGCCGTCGCAAACCAGCATGCAGGTTTCACGATGGTTTTTTTTCGGTATGTCCGCCTAAAAAGAGAAGAGTGAGCGGCAGTAATTTTAGTACTAAAAAATAAAACCTAAAAACTACTTTTAATTGCAGTTAAATTTAAATATCAATAAATATATTGAATTAAACATTAATTAAAAAGTCAATGGTTGTCAGGCTCCCATAGCAAATCCCCCCTATTAGACATACTGATTTTCAAACTCAATGAAACACTAGAGACACTTAGGAAAAATAATTAATAAACGTGTCTAATCAATTTAAAAAAATTCTAAGAAATTCTATACACACCAATTTGGGGTGAAACTCAAATCCACTAAACTTAGTAACATCATATACACTATGAATGAATTTGATAATAATCTAAAATCATTTAACCTCTTAATTAAGCAAACTTAAAATTAGCTAGGCTTGATTTTTGTAAAAATTGTAATAAATCATTTCAAATTTCTAAATATATAAATAAACCTCCAATTGGCTCTAAATCATGCCTACAATAAGAGAAAATTCAAATCTCATTCCAATTTTAATTACATTTAAACTAAGATTTAATTAATCTTTAATTGAATACTAATTAAATAAAATCATAAAAAAATTAAATATTAGTTAAATTAATTTCAAAATTTATTAATTGGTCTATTGGTTGATCCTAATTAATCATCTTAATCCCATGTCTATTTGAATTAGTTTGATTAATTAATTAAGCAACCCACATTCTTAACTAAATAAAAAATTATTAAATAATTAATTAAAACACCTAACAATACAATAAAATTAATAAAATTTAATAAATATGCTATCCAATTTTTGATTTTAAAGATGTTATATTTTTGATAATTTTTTTGTTCAATTTTATGTTTTCTTAAGAAAAAATAGTGTTAAATTTTGCGTAAATCCTGATGCTAAACAGCCCCTAAAAGCTTCCAGTTCAAATCCTACTGCTACCAAACAAAAAGCCGGGGCCTTGGCTTATTGTTGCAAGGGGAAGAGGAAGCAACACCGGCAGTCAATTCCCGTGGACGCCACCAAATCCCTCTTTCAACAATACAGATCTTGCCTCTCCCATGGATCCTACCATTTTCGATAGGGAGAGACACCTAGCCTTCCTGGAAAGGATGCTGGAGCGCCTGCCGGAAGATTATGAGTCACAGGAGATCAACCGCCTTACAATCGCCTACTTCGTCATCTCTAGCCTTGCCCTTCTTGATGCTCTAGATAGGGTACTCCTTTACTCTTATTTTCCTGCGTCTGCTTATACTTTGTTATTACTCGTTCCAAGATCCAGCCTTTAGGACTGTTCAATACCCTTCGCTTCATTTTCCCTTGTACATGCTGCAATTTATATAGTTTTTCAGGAGTTATATTGCTGTTGGAAATTTGAAAATTTGGAAGTGTTTTGTCTCAGGTTTTATTTGTAAATTGTTATCTTTGCCATAATGTTTGCTAAACGTCAAGAGGAATGATGTTTATGTTATCAAGTAAGAGACTATGTGCACATGGGTGCACGAATTCATCTATAATTCAATATTTTATGTTGCGTAAGTAGTTTATATAGATGAAAAACAACACATTTAAATCCTAAATCTTTGCCATAATGTTTGCTAAACGCCACGAGCAACGATGTTGATGTTATCAAGTAAGAAACTATGTGCACATGGGTGCAAGAATTCTTCTATAATTCAATATTTTATGCTGTGTAAGTAGTTTAGATAGATGGAAAGCAGTACATTTAAACCCCACTTGTTAAATCCTTGTAAATTGTTAGTCTACAAGTGGAATTTAATTCAAATTGGATTAATAAATATTGTAAATTCAGATTTATTAAGATTTGGAGGCATTAAATCCTGGAAAGTGTTTGACATAATGTTAAATATGGTTAAATCCTAGTAAAATTTAGGATTTATAAAAAAAGAGAAAAGAAACATATCGTGGACAAGTAGTGAAAATCCTTTAATTCCCACTCATGATTTTTTAAATCCTTGATTTAGCTTTTAAACTAGGGTTGCAAGCGAACCAAACGTTTGATAAGCTACTCGTTGCTCGGTTCGATTAAGGCTCGTTTAACTAACTAAACAAACAAACTTGAACAACATTTTTAATGTTCGTTTCTTAAATAAACAAGCTTGAACACTAGTGTGTTCGGTTCATTTTTGTTCACGAGCAACATCATTTGAAGCTCGTGAACAAGCTCGACATTAAGCTCGATAAGAAGATTGATAAAAGTTTGATTCATGTTCGATTTTGAACTCGTGAATAAGCTCGATAAATTTATTCATATAGATTAATCATATTCTCATTTTAAATAGATAATTGCTTTTATTATAAATTTAATTTCATTTTATTTTATACCTTCAATAGAATGAATTTGTTCATGAACAAGAGACATTTAACATTTGTCAATGTTTGCTAGATTGTTTGTGTAAGATGTTCATGAACAAATATAATATCAATCATAGATCGTTTGTTCATGAACGAGCTCATTGATAGCTCGAAAATACTAGTTATGTATATATTCATGATTTTGCTCATTTGATAGCTCAAGAATACTCATTAGATTTGTTCATGAATGTGCTTGTTTGGTATGTAAAAAAATTCGCTCACGAACATAGCTCATTAAGGCTTGTTTGTTTAAAGATCGATAAGCACTAAACGAACCAATATAGTCCTTTGTTGGGCAATCATAGTAAGGAGAAGATGCAATCTCTTATGAGAATTCAGCTTGATTGCACATTCAATGAATGTCGATGAATGGAGGATGCTACTATAAGCGTTCCTGTGAAAAAGTAGAAATTGCAAGTATTTGCAAAATCATATAAAGAGGAATTTACACGTTCTACATTAAAAATTGCAGTTTCATACGCATTGTAAATTTTAAAATAATCAATTATCACGCTGAATTTATGTTAGTTAATGTTTGTTCCGATATTTTATTCTTTTATTTCACCAACAACAACATCAAGCCTTTATCCTAATACGTGGGTCAACTACATGAATTCTTTTTCTCTATTATGTCATATTAAGAGTGAAATTCTCATTTAAATCTAATAAAGACAGGTCATTTCTAATATTGTCTAATCAAGTCTTTTTAGATCTACATGGCCTGCGTGCTATCGTAGTTATGAGCTATCAGTGTTCAGACTGTTGCTTGCTTGTTGAGGATGATTTGATTGAGAAATAATTGATCTTTTATAATCAGTGGTGTCATAACTGATGTTTAAGTTGTTTTAATTTTTAGGTTAACAAGGATCAGTTGGTCAGTTGGGTTTTGTCATTTCAGTTTCATCCTAGTAATGACTCCGATCTGAAAAACGGTATGTTTTTGTGTAACTTCCAAAGGAATTGATGTTATCATTTTATTCTAATTTATCATATATCGAGAATATTTTTTAAGCAGTCAGCTTACTTCAGGACAATTCTATGGATTTGGTGGTTCCACACCTGCAAGTGCTTTCATTGATGATGAACCGGTGCGTTGGTTCTTGGAAGTTATTGAATGGAGCATTGTTTTTACGATTAACTTTATTGACAATCTTTAACACAAATAGGCGTCTGGTAACAATTGCAGCCACCTAGCCAGCACTTATTGTGCTCTTGCCATCTTGAAAGTCGTTGGTTACAGTTTCTCTGATTCTAACTTTGAACTGATATTGGTCTCAATGAGAGAGCTTCAACTGCCTGATGGAAGGTTACTTGCTGCTTCATCCACTCTCTAAAATTTTATCAAGTTTCTCTTTCATAACTTATAAAAAAGGTTGTCGTCTGGACATGCCATTGATATGATCAAATTTAGTGGCAAAACAGAATGTTGAAGACTGCATTTGTTCCTTTCAGATTGTGATGTATACCTTAAGAATATCTCATGCATTTTGAATTCTGTTTTTTTTTTTTAATAATTCTTATTTATTTTGCATATGCATTGCATGTATTCTTTCATCCATATTTCCTAGCAGACATTTGAACGCATCATTTTGCACCCTGAGACTTAGGTTTCATTTGGGACGGTTTTTTACTGCGTCTTAAAGCAGTTTTTTAATAAAAATTTAATTTTTTTTACTAGAAAACTGTTTTATGAAGCAATAAAAAAGTCATCCCAAATGAAATCTTAAGCACAAGCGTGGTTCCTGCACAAGTATCCGGAAAAAAAAAAATTATACATGTGGGTCCAGTATTATTATGTAGAGATTATTATTGTTTTATCTCTGCCATTGCTCCCTACCATACAGCTGAAAACTAAATGTGAGAACCCATGAGATATATTGAGCATTCATTGATGCAAGTTAGATGTGTGTGCTGAATATTTTCTAATCCTTCACTATGAAGAAATTGATTTTTTTTGGCATTTGACAGCTTTATGCCCACTCATACAGGGGCAGAGGCAGATCTTCGATTCATATATTGTGCTGGTTAGAACGCATTTCTTTGTTCTTTTTTCTTTTTTTTTTTCATAAACTTGGTCCTTAAATCATTATGGTTTGGATGATGCTACCAGTTGCGATCTGTTTTATGCTTAACAATTGGACTGGAATGGACAAACTGAAGGCAAGGGAATATATACTTAAGTGCCAGGTCGTTCCTTAACAAAATGGGATTTGACCACCTAGAATCACCCTGTTTCGTTTCATTATAACGTTATTTTGGTCTGTAATGCGATTTTACTGATTCTTTCAACTAATGCTTGCAGTCATACGATGGGGGCTTTGGTTTAGTGCCTGGTGCAGAGTCCCATGGTAAGTCAATTATCTCCATAATTGTTGGCTCTGACTTTTTTTAAAGCTGTAAAATATTTCTTCATATTTTACAGCGTTATATGCATTTTGGCTCATTATTTACCATCGTCTTAGTGACACAGGTGGTGCAACGTACTGTGCAGTGGCAGCTCTCCATCTTATGGGTTATATGGAAACCGGCATCATATCTAAATTATCTCAAACACTTGCTATTGATATGCCACTATTAGTGGAGTGGAGCTTGCAGGTACAATTCATATCATATTTGGCATTATTGTTGTCTTATTGCAAATCTTTCACCCTTGAATAAAATATCAATTTTGTTTCTAATAGATTTTGAATGATTGAATCATAGTACCTAGACAAGCTTTACCACCATCCCCCATCTCCTCTTACACATCGAGCTACATATATGCTAGAATATGGGAAACTATTGATCCTCTAAATAATCCTCATGATACTTTAATCTAGATTTTTGTTTGCAATCAAAAGGTTTAATTTATGGGAAGCCTCAAATCATAAATATATAATCTTTTTATGTGGGTGAAATCTTTGGGTAGTGCTCATCCTCTACTTTATATATCTCCCAAAATTACATCTTTTTTTATTCACAATAGCGGAACAATTTTTTTATGGCTCACAAGCGAGATAAAGTGAAGGAAACCATATTACTTCTTTTGCTTGTTGGAGATAGCTAATTTGGGAGACATGGCTTCATTTGGCTAGCTATAGTAGTTGAAGAAAGCTGTTGTGCAACAAGTAGTTAGGTTGGCCATTTTTTTTTCCTTAAGTGTGATGGAAAAGTGCTGTTGACATACAAAAATATCAACACTGTTTTAACCTATTGATTAATGAATTTGGCAATCTGCCTATCAAGGTGAATTTTTTAGTTTTGATTGTTTTAGTAGACAATCAATGACCAAAAAAATAAGTATCTCACTTAGAAGCATTTCATATATTTTGACTTGGACTTAAGTTTAAACACTTTTAACTCATCTTAGGAGTGTTTTCATCCAAGGTTGACCTATGGTCAAATCCCTTTGACCATGATCAACCCAGATTTGACCAAAACTCTAAAATAAATTTAAAGTCTAATGTAAAGACTCAAACCTAATCAGAAAGTTTTGCTTTTGACTTTGATTGGTTCATGCCCATCCTTGGACCATTTAAAGTTAGGGTTGGCTCTTTGTCAACTTTTTGATCGAAGTCATTCATTGGTTGGTCAAAATATCCAAATTATCTCTAATCATTACCTGTGGGTCATCCTAAGTCAAACTCAGTTATTTGACCTTAGACTTGAGTCAGTTAGTCTAAACCCTTTAATTAGAATAATTCTTGCGAGTGATTCTCTATGAGGATATTAGAAAGCATATGGTGCATCTCAGGGGCTAATGGAAGAATTAGATCCAATTCCTTATTGTCTTAACCTCAAACTTTATATTACCAGAGAGCCAACAAGCTTTCAATAATAAATGTAAAAGGCAACATATAAAATTTCAACTTACTATTTCTTCCAAAAAATTCATATACAGTAGCCCATATTTACATCGGGAAACATCAAAATATAGATAAGTACTGGACTGCAAAATAATACCTCTAACACTCTTATCTTCTGACAGACTTGGATCCGATCAGCACCTATATAGTGGATTCTTTCCCTTTCCCTAAAATTTCAAATAATTTGTAGAGTGAGCACAAGGCATGCCGAATAGGCTTTTCCAAATTCCTATTATAAAGTCAATATTCATTTTATATTGCATAATAAAAATATTTAAATTACAGTTCTAAATCATCAGAAGACTTAAGTACATATAAAACATAATTTATGAATTATTGTACTTTTGTATTCACATTATCAGAACAGTGACATATACATAGACTTAACATACACATAATTCAGAAATACATATTCAAAATTCATTACTTGAACTTGAATATTTCAAATGTTAACATATGCTTATACTTGACACCTTTTACAAAAACTTTTTTATAGATGTATTAGAGTATACTTATTAATATGATATTTCTTACACTTGAATTTATTTCATTTATCTAAATATGCAATATATGAAATGTGATATGCGCATGTTTTGATATCTGCACATTCACATAAAGTAGAGGGGACTAAAATTTATCATAAAGTAGAGGGCACATTCACATAAAGTAGAGGGGACTAAAATATGCACATGTTTTGATATCTGCACATTCACATAAAGTAGAGAAAATGAAAATGAATTAGTGATAATGAATTTTGATATTTATATATTATAATCTCATTTTTTGATCCAGCATCGCAGAGCCCATGTTCACAACACTGCAGTGTTAACCTTGATTTGATCAAATATTTAAGCAGTAGTTTCGATCCACTGATGCACATGCAATCAGAACTTTGATTAATAATTTACTTGTAAAATACTTTTCTCTTACGGATTGTTTTACATTTTTTTTGTCACTTCTAATTTGGTTTCTAGTATTATCTACCCTGTAATGGGTTGTTTTTTTACTTCTGCAGAGGCAATCTGTTGATGGAGGATTCCAAGGCAGGGCCAATAAGCCCAGTGATACATGTTATGCATTTTGGTAGGAAACCTGAGTAACAACTACTCCCTAATCTGCTCTTCTTTGATTATTTCTCCCCCTGAAACTCATTTCCTCTACAGGGTTGGTGGCGTTTTGAAGCTTTTGGGTGGATACCAATTCTGCAACAAGGAAGCTCTGCGTAGTTTTTTACTTTCTTGCCAATCTAAGGTACTCAAACTTCTCCATTTGTTGTTAGTTTCTGCAAATTACTTACTTGCTAAGACTTTTCTTATGGTCACCAGTTTGGTGGCTTCAAAAAATTCCCAGATATCATCTATCCTGATCTTTACCATTCCTTCTACGGATTTTCTGCATTAAGCTTATTGCAAGAACCTGGACTTAAGCCTCTTCAGGTTGAATTAGGCATCCCTTATATATCTGGTGCTGGAATCTGAGTTCCCTTCTCAGTGATGTTGACAGCATAATTGAAAAATGTGTGTATCCAGATGCATCTGCCATGTAGTTTTGTTAAGCACATTGACCATTTAGGCTTCGTTTGAGGCAACTTTCTTGTTGTTTCTTAAAACAACTTTCTAGTACAAAAAAATTAAATTTTATACTAAAAATTCATTTTGAGAAGAAGTAAGAAAGCCGTCCCAACCGAGACTATTGCTTTCTTGCAATCTGCATATATTTGGAACGGCTTTTTTATTGATTCTTAAAGCAGCTTTTTAGTCAAAAAATTAAAATTTTTGTACTAAAAAGTTGCATTAATTTTTGTACTAAAAATCTTTACTGCTTCATCAATTCTTGACTTGATAATATTTGCATCATGTTAAATATTTGGTACAATCTCATCTCTATTGACACAGCGAGCACTCTATTTCTTTATATTTTCGTCATTTAGTGTATAAATTAGTTATTTATCATTTTTTGCCATGCAATATCTTCTTTCCTTATCATGCTTATGAAGGAATTTCTTCTAGATTTTTTATGAAGATCAGATAAAAAATTATGGGGATTTTTGTTGGATAGAAATTTTGCACATGCAATAAGGATATCTCCAACCGAAAATCTCATTTTTAACTCCAAAATGCATGGAAATTAAAAAATGTCTTGATTCATCTCCAATCAAACTCCATTTTGCCCCCTTTTGCGAAGGTAACGGTCGTTCACTTCTTTCGCGCGTTTTTTATGCAAGTTGGGTAGAGACAGAAAAATGACGGAGATGAACAGTGCAACGCCAATATTGGCGTCCCGCTGTTTACCCGCAACCAAATAGCGGAAGTTTTACCATTGGTTGGAGCTCGCAAGTGACGCCATTCAAATGTTTGGAGTTCAGTTGGAGAAGCCCTAATAAATTTCTATCAATGGGTAAAAATTATTTTTAAATGTATACAATTTGAAATAGCTTAGGTATTATGTATCAATATTTACATTTATTGAAGTTAATGCTCCTAAAAGTTAGACATAGGGTTGGTTTGAGAAAATTGTAATTTTTTTTGTAGATGTGGTTATAAGATTGTTGTGGGAGAAATAATTTTTTTTAAAAAATAAATTTTTATTATGAAATTTTTTTAAATATATGAAAAAAATAATATTCAAATAAATATTATCATTGTTATTTGAAAAATAATATAGTATGAAATTTGAAATTGTAATTTTAGACTAAACAATTGTTTTATCTATCAACAAATATTATTTAAAAAAAATAAAAAATCCTTTATAAAAGCATAACTTTACTATGGTTTAATCATAAAATAAGGTAAATAATTATTAAGATCAATAACTATTTTCTCATAATAATTAAGAAAAGTATAAATAATAAAAATAATAGTAAAGATTATAAATTATATAGTGTTGAGAAAAATATACTTTATTACATTTGGAGGCCGTTTATCTGTCTCGATCAGTTAAGATTCTTTCACGCCGTCCATTGAAAGACAAAGGGCTTCGATCTAATCCTTAAACGCACGGCCTGGGAGGGGAAGATTGGCAACAAGTAGTATTTATCTTTTAAGTATGGTTTAGTAAATACTATAAATTCAAATTTATTAAATTTTGAGCTTGTTAAATTAAAAAAAAATTAAAAAAAAATATATTAATTCTCTTGATAATTTAATAAAATTATTTGATAAATATAAACTCCACATTTAAGTGATTAGGTTTATTTAAAACTTAAAATTTAGTTTATTTTCTAATTTAATTTATATTTAAATACAGTTATTTTTTATTTTAGTTTAATTGATAATTAAAAAATTAGTTTAATTATTAATTAATTTAACTAATAATTATTAATTTCATTACTAACTATTTAAATATTTATTTTAAATGTTATTTCGAGAATTATGTGATTGCACTGATATTATCTAATGAATTATCCAATTATAATTAAAATTATTTAATCAGTTTTTTATTATAATTTAATTTAATAATTTAAAACATTATATTACAAACTAATTATTAATTATTTTATACTACTACTCTACTTATCTACACCGCCAAAAATGTATTACCATCGCAGATTAACATCATTCCCGTCTGTGACCGCCGAAAACCCGACACCGAAAAATCCGAGTTGAACCCGACCCGTTTGATAAACGGGTCGGGTTCGGTTCGTAAATTGACCAGTTTGATTAAACGGGTCGCGGTCGGGTGACCCGGCGGGTTGCCGGGTCAACCCGACAACCCGTTTAATTTAAAAAAATTTGAAATTTCCCTCCCGGCTGCCCGCTGCCCGCCTGGCCCAGCCCGAGCTCCCGCTTCGCCAGCCGCGTGCCCACCCGCTGGCAGCCCGTGCTCCCGCTGCCCGGCCGTGCCCAGCCCGCGCTTCGCCTGCCCGTGCCCGCGCTTCGCCTGCCGCGCAGCCCGCCGCGTGTCGGTCCCGCTGCCGCCGTCCCGCTTCCGCCGTTGCCGCAGCTTCGCCCGGAGCGCCCGCGGTGTCGCTAGAGCCTTGCCGCGCTGCAATGCCGCGCCGTCCAGCTGCCGAATCGCGTGCTGCGCGCGATACTACCGGGTCGAGTCCTCGGGTCGGGTCAACCCGGCAACCCAGCCGGGTCGGGTCAACCCGGCAACCCGGCCGGGCCGGGTCCGGGTTGAAATGTCCGACCTGTTTGCCAAAACGGGTCTGGTCCGGATTGACCCGTTTAGATCCGGGTCGGGTCGAACGGGTTGACCCGAATTGACACCCCTGAATCACAACCTGTCTAGGTTTGCATCTTCGCCGTTGCTGCTTCTGCTTTGCTAGCTTCTTCGCAGAGTCGGCTTCGCGTGCATCACCGGAAGTAGAGGTTTGAAAAATTCGTTTAGGACGGGAGATTTTTGTATGGATTCTTTGCCTTCGGCGACGTTGTTCATTTGGATCGGAAGTAACGACGGGAGCTGGCTCGCTGCGAAGGTAACCATCTTTCCCCTTTCGTGCGCTTCTTCGGCCAAACTCCGTAAATCCCCCGAATTTCCGATTTAGTAAATGCAGCATTTATAGCAAGAAGAGGATAACGGAGGATTTGTGCAGGATTTATTTTGCTGTGAGATTTAAGACTTACTCAAATTTCGTTTGGCAGGCTAAATCCTTCTCAAATCCTGCATAATCTCTTGTATCTAAACAGCCCCTTCATTTGGATACTCAAATTCTTATAGTTTTGCTTTGTGAGAGGTAGCATTTTTATATTCATGCCACTTTTAATATCATAAGATCAAGGCTTCAATACCGCTTCGTTAGAAATTTGATTGTGTAGAGAGATATGCATTGCTCATAAGTAGGAACAGAGACAAATAAATTGAAGAAGGAAATCACTTCATTAGAAACTTCTAATTCTCTAAGAAAACATTTTCAGGAAACCCGTTTATATAGTTGAGCTATACAACCCTTTATCTTAACATTCATCGGAATAATCTAAGGGGCCATTTGGTTAATTGAAAAAGGAATATAGAGTCTAATTAAATGCAATTTAAAAGGAATGCACTGTACTTGAAATATTTTGAGTTGTTTGAATTAGTGTAATATAAATGCATGTAACTACTTTTTTTGTTTGACTTGAAGTAAAATAGGCCTATGTTAAGAAAAGTAGAAATAAACTTAAAAAGATATGGTTAGATAGTATTAAATTGAACTTTTTTTAATTAAATTTTAGTGAGAATTTGACCCTTAATAGGATACAATGGAGAGAAATTATTCATGTCGTTGACCCCATGTATTGGGAAAATGACTTGTTGTTATTGTTGTTGTGAAGTAAAATGAATGTAGAAATGGTAGAGAATTTATGGTGTGTTTGAAAATTTTACCTACCGTTCTTTTTACTTCAAATCAAACACCAATATTTTCAAAATCTCCGCCTTTGAAATACTTTATATTCCTTTTACTTCAAACCAAATTTCTACTAAGACATTCTACTTTCTTACCGGAAGACTCTTTGAAAACATGCATCTAGAAATACCAAGAGAGATGTCATGGATAATGAAATATATATAAAAGAAGTCATTGACCTGTTGAACATGTTATTAGATGAAAAATGGAGTGATAGGAATTCCTCTATTCTTGAATGGTGTTTCTTCTTTTTTAAATGAATGCCTGCAATCAAAATTTTTCAGGTTTTTGTGTCCACTATCATGCAAAGTTGATTTTCCCTTAAACTGTTAAAAAAATCCTTGAAGCTCTCGTTAGATCAGTACTTTGAATGATCATAGTGCCTACTTGAAGTAGATGAAAGGAAAGTTGGTGGCTTTGACCTTCGCCGAAAGATGCAAGGTGAGTGCCTTTCATCCTTCTTTGAATTCCTGACTATATTGATGAAAATGGTTTTTCTTTTTCAACCTGAGGGAATCTCCTTGTAGCTCTTCCAAGGAAAAATCTTTTGGGCTATTACACTGAAATTATTACTTTTTTCTTTCAGAATATATTGGCAGCCAACTGTCAAGCTTATCTAAATACAATTAAAGCTGATGCCAAGGGAAGGTAAGCTACTTCTGTAGCACATTTGCTAAGGTTCCTTTATCCCGTATTAAATAATCAAAACAAAATAAAGTTGATTAAAACTCTGCTTTTAATGATTTTGGGTTGAGGAGAGGTTTTGTCTCTGTAGTCTGGCCTTATAATATTTTAGGCTTTGTTGGTTTTGATAGTTGCTATTTGTAAGGGTTTATTTACGACAGTTTTTTCAAGGCTCTGTTTTTTCAAAAGTTGTCATTCATGACAACTTTTTTGTCACTTTGAAAAAATTATGATGAGAAGCAACTTTTTACAATTAGATCTGCTAAAATGTTATAGCTATAAGAAAGTTGTTGTTCAGCTTTTCGAAAAGGAAAAAGTCTATAATATCTACAATAACCTTCAAAAAATATATTTTTCTTTCAAATTTTTACTTCTTATTTTTTATGTGCAACTTCAACTACTGGAAGCCAACCCTAGAAATTTGATTTTGTTTGCTTCTTTATCATGCTATTTGCATGCATAGACATGATGATAAGTCTTTTGGATTTAGATTAATGAGAAAAAAAAATGATACTTCAAACTTTATTATAAACTCTTTTAAAATTTTGAAATTAATTTGAATTTCTTTCACATTATTCTTTTCATTTTATAAAATCATCATTTCATAATAATACACATCCCAATATGCCCTGGTCAAACCGAACTAGATTGGATCAAATTATCTTCCTCCCATGGACATATAGATGATGCATGATATTGGATCCTACATAAATCAAGATAAATTGTCCCAAAGAAGGCCAATTAAGCTTGTATTGATCTCATCTATCCTTGGTTGTTTTCCTCTTGCTCATTTGTGGCCGCTTTTTAAACATTGATACAGCTCCTCTTCCACGAGTCCACATCCATCACATTCTACATGAACTTCAATGGCGAGTGGCGACTCAAAAAAATGTCATATGATGTTGTCTAATTGACATGCAAATTATGACTAACATGTGTGCTTTTTTTTCTTTTAATGTAGTCATTTGATTGTAGTATAGTAAGCCAATGATTAAATTAGATTTAATTATAATAATAATTATGTTACTTATTATTTAATGAAATAATTCATGCTAGAAATTATCCTGTATTTATTAATTCAAACAAAAAAGATTAATCAGGCCTAAAGTGGGAAGAAGTTACGGGAGAAATTGTACTGATTAGGCTATTCCATAAGAAAGAAGGAAAAGTATGTATATTAAAATAATAGTTTTTATTTTAAAATGTACTTCTATCTTATGATTTTTTTTGTTTTGCTTTTCAGATTGTATTATTTTACAAGAAAGAAAAATATCTAAGTATTTGGAAATAAATATAATTAAAAAATGAGAATTGACACGATTGTTTATGAGTTTTAGATTATGTTTTTCCACTCAATTTGATTGTTTATGAATTTTAAAGTATGTTATTTCACTCAATTTAATTGTAACTATGTGCTCATTTTCTTTTTCTTTCATTTTCTTATTTATAAGATATGGGCATGCTTATTAAAATCATTGATCATTTATTGGCTCATTTCATGCTGCTTTATGTAGCAAGGATGACATCCATACCTCAAGGATACATTACATGTTGAAGAAGGGAAAGCCATACATCTGGGTCAAAGAAGGAGACTTGCATAATGTGGTACTATTTTTTCAGCAACTTGCTAAACCTGGAATTTTGTGGATATTCTGATTATCAATTATAAATTGCATGATTTGAAGGCTTTTCAAAATTTTGAGAAAGGAAAGATTTATAGATCTTTCAATTTTTTTATCATCTGTAAGATTGGCGAAAAACAATTTTTTGGCTTTTCGGCTCATGTATTACCCATTGAATAAATTTTGAGCTTAATATGGTACTTCTCTAATACGGGCATTACAAAGAGTAATTTTTGCTGACAGCTTGAGTGTTACTGTACAGAATGTGATCATTGATGAGCGTGGTTCACTTGCAGTGAGTGCTGTTGTTCCCGGCTCCATTATGAGACTGCTCAGATCAATGGGAAAGGTCTATTTCTAGACATTCCTTTTTTTCTTAGAAGCGCTTTTCCAGTATTGTGGCAGCATCTATTTTCTTGTAAGCAGCAGTTTTTGTTGTTTTTTTTCCTCTTGAAAATCAATTTTAGTTATTTTTCCTCTTTAGTTCGATGAGCTGATGTATCTCTTTCAAGTTAAATGGTTGCCGCCGGCTGACACCTTATTTCTGCCCGTTCACCAACAGATGCTGAACTTCCAGCTGACTTTTGTTCATAAATAGACGATTGACTATTGTAATCTGATTATCCCTAATTCAAGGACGAATCAATCACTTATAATCAATTCAAATACTAGTGGGAACTTTTTCAGCTGGGCGTGGCCCCATGGTTTTTCCCTTCTTTAGGGTTTTCCACGTAAAAATCTTGGTGTTCTTTCATCTTCTGTTTGTGTGCTGAATATCCGTACAACGCTGAGACAAAAAATTCTAACTCTATCGCCGCGTATATTCTAGCCCGCAACAATAACCAATAGAGCATAACTAATAGTTGAAAGATAAAGATGATCAACTAAACATTGAAGAAGATCGTTTGCTTATTTGATTGACCTTTGATCTTTAATTCTTTTTATTCAGAATTATCATAACCATGCCTTACTTTTGTCCTGACATTAATTCATCAGTTTTATTAAATTGCAATTTTATTAAAGTTTAACAATAGCATTCTCGCGTGAAGTTTCAGAAACAATCCTGAAATTAACAAATAGATTAGTCACTATAAAGGCCTACTCACACAACGCTCTTGGTGTGGGCTAAGCGGATAAGCTTTCAAAATAAAACGTTGCCACGATTGAGGCGGTCAAAAAGTATACGGCGGGGGGGGGGGGGGAAGAGTTTACTCGCATGAAAGAAGATATTAAGCCACGATGAAGTTGTTTGGCTGCCTATGTGTAAAGGACAACAATACGAACCCTCTTGCAGGCCCGAACAACACTCTAACGTCTTTGGAAATTCTGGACAGCAACTATGTGGTCGCCAAATCCTGGAACAATTGGTAGTGGGGCTGGAAAACGGGATGATCCTGTATTTTAGCAGTAGACGGTTGTCTTTTGGGATGATTTGGGAGGGAAACAATAAACTTCTGACCTGAAATTGAGGGGGGCGGCAAGCACTAAATGCTTAGGGGGCTGATTTGGGGCCTTAGTGGAGTTGCCAACGATAGCTTACTAGTTAAGGAAAGAGGAATTAATTCATATTTTCAATCAATACTCAGATTTGATGATAACGATATCCTTCCAAATATAGCCCAACAATTTAGGAAAGGAATTCAAGGCTTATAGGAAAATTTGAATTTGAATTTGAATTCAAATTTCCAAAATTAACGCTAGGCTAATTTAGGAAGGAGAATTAATTATGATCTCCAATTAATATTCAAATTGATTGATTGTGATATCTTTCTGAACATGATCCTGTATTTGATTAAAGACAATTAACTCTAGGGACTTCACATAAGTTTTCACAATAACTCTCAAGGCTCTCAAACACACCTAAACACAAAGTATAGAAATTTTCATTCATAATAATCATCATCCTCCCAAGGAGGAGGTGATGTCTATTAATAGACAAAATACAATAAATCATCAAATGATAAAAGTACCCGTTGAGGTCACATAAACCTACTCCCTGAAGTAAGGGTAAAAATGAAAAATTACACATAATAAATCAAATACAAATAAATGCTCATAAATAGAGTAATCTGATCATAGTCGTAGATCTCCGGTCCTTTCTCTGATAAACTTTTCACGGCCGGATGTCCTCATCATTCTCCCGGGGTGAAAAAGAGCTTGACTCCGTCGAGTATATATCCCGGGTGCTCTCATAGATCTCTAGCACATCCGGGTCAATCCTCTGGAGCTCCTCGCGCTCTAGCCAAGTATCCTCTATCTCTGGTTTACCCCTCCACCTCACCAAGTACCTTCTTTGTCCACCCTCTTTCATGGAAATGATTCATCATTTAAAATAATGTCAACTTTCTTTGCAATAGGTTATTTAGGAATATTTGGAAGTGGAGGAAGGCTTGGGTTCTCACATGGTGGGGTCACACTAGGCATATTGTCGATAATTAACAGAGTTATATTGGGTAAGGGTAGGGATGCGTCGCGATGTAGAGAACTAGGCAGCCAAATGCGATGTGTGCCAAAGACATAAGTACTTAGTCATAATGTCAGCTGGGTTAGTACAACCTTTAGCCCTACCGGAGAGGGTGTGGGAGGAAGTGATGATGGACTTTATCGAAAGGCTACCACGATCGAAAGGATTTTCAGTGATCTTAGTAGTAGTGGATTGCCTGAGCAAGTATGCACATTTCATCCCTTTGAAATACCCTTACACTACAGTCACAGTGGCTATTGTTTTCATTCAAGAAGTGGTATACTTGTACGAGTTCCCAAAAGTAATTGTGTCAGATAAGGACAAGGTGTTTCTTAGCCACTTATGACGTTTCTTAGTCACTTATGGAAGGAGCTATTTCGTTTATTGGGGACGGTATTAAAGCGAAGTACAACCTATCACCCTCAGAAAGACGGTCAGACAGAAGTGGTCAACCATAGTGTAGAGACCTACTTGAGATGTTGTATCAGATACACCAAAGAGTTGGGCTAGGTAGATTGTGTGGGTAGAATATTGGTACAACACCTCATACCACTTAGCAACAATGACCACTCCCTTTAGGATTCTCTATGGGACACCCACCTCACTTGATTCATTACGGGGGTAGCACTACACCAGTGTCTAGTGTAAATCAATACTTAGAGGAGAGGTACATGGTACTAGCAGAGCTTAAAGGGAATTTGTTGAGAGCCCAACATATCATGAAAAAGAAGGCGAATTGGCACAGGAAAGGTAAATTTTGAACTGGGAGACATGGTTTATTTAAATTTAGGCCCTACTAACTGAAAACATTAGTCAGGAGAAGGAATGTAAAACTTCCCCACGGTATTTTGGGCCTTATGTGATCTTGGAGCACATCAGAGCAGTAGCTTATCGATTAAGGCTATCACCATCTTTAGTTTTGCACCCTATCTTTCATGCATCGTAATTGAGGAGGGCGATAGGGGAACATACGCCATCATCACTACCCCCAACTTTGACAGAAGACATGGAGGTTATGTTGGAATCTCTGGAAATAGCAGGTGTGCGCAGGGGGAGACAGGGACACAAGAGGTGCTAATCAAGTGGAAGGACCTGCCAAAGTATGATGGCACTTAGGAGTCATACGAGACAATCAAGATGCAGTTCTCAACCTTCCACCTTCATGACAAGGTGCACTTTTGGGTGGGGAGTATTGTTACGATCGATCCTGTAGCTGGCCTAGTAGCAAGGGGGCGGACTATCAGAAATTTCGACCCCCTTTGTGGGGCCTAGCAAACCAATTATTCCATAGGCTAGGAGGAGGATTAAGGAATGAATTAATGAAAAAATTTGAATTCAAAATAGGTAGGGAATAAATTGGGGGGAGAGAGATCTTTTAGGGCTAAATTGGGGGGAGTAGGGGCTTATATAGAGATTATTATTTTGTATTTTCTGTGAATTTCCGGCTGTTTCTTGCTGATTTTGACTCCTAAGGCATATCAGATATTTAACAAAACTATTAAAGATTTAGTAAAACTTACCATATTAGATAGACAGGAAAGTGACTCCTATTGTAGCTAAGGAAAAGAAGTCTTTGTTGGTTTTGACATACAAATGTCCAACAACAATTAGTATGAAATACATGAAGGCAAAGGGAAAGATAAATAGGTACATAGTTATAATTAATAATTGTGACTGAGATTTAAAATTAGGTTTATCACAATTTGCAACATTGATTGGGAAAGTTAATGTAAAATAATTTAAACAAAGTTAATGATGATGAACGGTGTTTTGATGAATTTATCATGTTGAATCCGTGACCATTTCTAAATCACTCCTACAAAACATTTATGTGTTCCTAGTCTAATCACCATGAAATGTTGAACCCATTGCTCTGCATGTTTGTGGTAATTTGTATATTAAGTGGCTAAAACATTTGTATGCTTTCTCTATTCATTGTAGAATTACTTACCAAGTATTAATTTGTGGCAAAATAATTTTGAAAGCAACCTTCTCTTGATACTTAAGTGGTTATTTTACTTTTAGCCTGGTTACGTTTAACCAATTGTTAAACATGGGCATTTTTCAAACAGTGCTCATTGTTAAATCTCAACCTCATGATCGGAAGAGAATCCACGGCTGTGAACAGTAATCCGTGGGAAGACCGCCTGGATCACATTAATTCCTTCCATGGTTGATTTAGGAATGATTGTATTCTCATTATTTTAGAGTTATTTGTTTCCTTATCAATACACCTTGTATAGATCTATAAATAGGGAGTAGATTGCATAATAAAATTTAAGCTTTTCCCTCTCAAATTCCGGTTTTAACACTATACATGCAAGGGTCACAACAAACGATCCTTGACATTTCCATTGCCATAAAGAACTTGAATAAGGTTTCTCTGATACTTATGAATATATTGGCTTTTAAAATATCAGAATTCTAATACAATATTAATTCACTTGCCTTCAAATTAATCCTTCGATATCTTCAGTAATTATCAAAATCAGAATAAGCACTCTCTCATTGATTGACTTTTCTGATGTTAGATTTTACATCATCATAATCATGATATGCTATCAACCTTGTTTTATATTTGGCTTGGAATTTGCTGAAATGGTTCTTACCAGGTCACATGTTTCATTTCAGTCTTAATCCAGGGTGTTTAAGCTGTCGTTCTGCTTATCTAGAGTTTAATAATTCATTCTTATTAATAGATCCATTAACCGATCTTGTACTTTTGAAGCAGCAATTAATCTTATTTAACTTGCCTTTAGACTTGTTTAATATTATTCGCTAACCGAGCAATTACTTTTGAAACAGTAATAATTCTAGTTGAATGGTTTGTAGTACAGTCTCTCCCTGTGTGTCTGGGTAAACATGCACTCGTGCTCGCCATTAAAATATTGAAACTCGTACTTCTTTTTTTCATTTTCTTTGCAGGCACCAGCTCGGGTAGCCCTTGCAGGTGATGTCATCCCTCTGAAAGATAACAAAGTAAGTCTAAGGGAGGCCAAATCATTTAAATGTATTTCTTCAATTTCATATGTTCTGTATTCAGGTCGAAAGCAACATTGACCTGTGCTTAATGCATTGACCTTCTCATAAATTAACACCTTCTTAAGTTAATAATAATAGAAAACTCATTAGGGCCTGTATGCTTATAAGTGATTCTTCTACAGATTTTATTATGCTCCTGGTTTATTATGCCATCACATTTGCTTAAAATTCTGAAAATATTCATTTAATATCATTAAAAACATGAAGTGAATATTTGATTGCTTTTATATAGATTGGCTATATATGACTGTTCTTTCATGACTAAAATAGCTGATGAAAATTGCTGATGAGAGTACGTTTACCTCATACTTTAATTGATTGTAAGGTTATGATTAGAGTGCTTGAAGCTTCTGATTTATTAGTTTCTCATAGAGAAAAATTCATCTGTATTTCCTTAGGAGGTGTTTGGTGGCACCTAGGATTTGATTTAAGTAGGATTTCATAAATCCTCTAAATCCAAATTTAGAAAATCCTGAGGGGCATAAATCCTGAAATTTGTTTGATAACATTCATAATAAATCCTATTAAATCCCGTGTGATTGTTTGGCTATAGAGCTGATTTAACGAGCGGACTCTTCCTCTCGAGTCAATGAATTTCGTAAATCAGGCAAAAAACGGGATTTCAGAAATCCAAGATTTAGCACAAAAAGGCGGAATTTTTTATCTACGGTGGCTTTTATTTGCCGTGAGATTTGGTTTTGCATTTTAGGCCGTTTGGCTGGATTTCGCTCAAATCCGCCTCAAATCTGGCCTTAAATCCTGCTACTAAACAGCCCCTTCGTGTCATGTTTCTTGTATTCATGTTAACAAAAGAAGTGCACGTATGCTTTAAAACAATCTAGGTTTTTATTACTGGATATTTTATTGTGTTAATGACAGAGTACTCTGAAGAGGCTAAGGGCCTGTATGGTTGCTCATCAATTGTTCCTCTGAGAATCTTATCTTCAGTTATTTTCACGTTTAATAGCAATACTGTGAAGCTGTGTATTATTTCACTATAACATGAAGAAGAGAATATTTTAGTGCTTTTCCTGGATTAGTTTTATTTCACTGTTCTGATCTTACCAAGACGGCAGATGGTATTATATTTACACCTAGTATTAATGGGCTTAAAGGCTTTTCAATATGCTTAAACTCAAATAATTATTTTATTTACTAGAAAATCTGTGAAGTCTATGTCATGAAAGAGATTTTGATTATGCAGGTTCAGGCCTTAAGTGAAGGGCTCCTACAGCATTTGGAGAAAGTAGAAAACTATGCCAGCCATTCTAGTTATGCAGTTTCTGCTCTACTAAGTTCTGCTAGCATAAATTGCAAATCAAGAATGGAAACCTTCCAGGAAATACTCGATCAAAATAGTAACTATGTTGCCCACAAGTTTAACATCAGGTAAATGGACTTTGAAATAAGAAAGCATCGACCATCTTTTTGTTTAATAAACTTTCTAGGGATGTTATTTATTTTTCTGAAGGGACATATAATGAGAATAATGTATTGATTATGTACGTAAATTCTTTTCTGAGAAGGAATTCCTAGCCCTAAAAGTTGACCTCAGATTCGCTAGAAGGTTCTATGCTTTAAAAAGTGATTTGGAGATTGATATGTAGAAGATGCTGAGGGATTGATTTGACAGTCACTTTTAAGTTATGATTTTAAGGGACCTGCTGAAGATTTAAGGGATACCCATGAAGCAATTTTTCAACTTTCCACCATGGAAGCCGAACTTCTTTTTTTTTTTGGGAAAAATTTGGGCTTAGCCAGTATATTAAATACCAAAAAACAGAGATTACAAAAAAAGGGTCAAAACCCTGAAACTGGCCAGCCAAACTAGACAAAAAACTTTAAGGCAAGCACAGAAAAAAATACATTAGAAGCCCATCAAAACCTGTAGAGAACAGAATGCCAAAACATATAGATGAAAAGCTCCTTAGGCCAGAACGTCCTGGACTCAGAATTGATAAACAAAATACGAAGGGACACGATTCCCTGGTTGCCCGAAGGCCGTCCAAGGGAGCAGCAGATAGGAGCATCATCATCGTCTAGGAGGCCAAAAACCTGCTGCGAAATGGGAATAGCAACCCAGCCAGAACCAATTCCCAGCCTGTTTAAAAAAATTCCAGCAGTGATGTTGAGTTTTTCCATTTGATCACCTTTTCAAAAACCACCTTTTTGATAGCCAATGCCAGTGTAGAGGAGCTTTGCATATTACTCCCAAATCTCCTAGAATTCCTCTCCTTCCAAATACAATAAATGGTACAGCTAACCATTAACTTGTAAAAATTTTTAACTGGAGATTGCCCCTTATAACTTTCATTCACCCAAGCAAACAGATGCAGTAACGAAGGCCTCATAAGAAGAGCTTTGGTATCAGGCATAACAGCGAGCAACACGGAAAAACAGTAAGAACATTCAAAGAAAAGATGGGAGACAGATTCATCGTATATGTGACACAAGTTGCATCTCTTTGGAACCGAAATATGCCTAATATTAAGAGCATCAGCAGTTTTGAGCCCTCCAATCAGCGCCAGCCAGACGAAAACAGCAAATTTTAAGCAATGACCTTTGTGCCAAATAGCTTTCCCCCAACTAATGTTACTTAACCCTGAGTAAAATTCAGCAACATAGTTATTAAATTTAGAAAAGGGTTTGCTATCCCACAGTAGACAGGGACCTTCATATTCAGAATTTGCCAAAATAATATTTCTCAGCTGGCCCGGCATACAAGCAGGGAATTCCCAATGGGAACCCACAAATAACTTACTCAGAAGGCAGTCAGGAAGGTTAAAAGTGCTTCCCGTGAACTCATGAAAGGTGAGATTGAAGCACCAGTGGTCCCATAACAGAGAAATGGGGGAATTACGTGTAATTTTAAAAGAAAAGTGCGCTTTGGCGTCAATAGCAGTTTTACACACTGTTTTACAGAATTTGGTAGCAGTAGAAGGCGGAGGACGCCACGGAGAGATGTATTTACTGGACAGCCAGCTAGCCAGGGGAGAGTTGGTGTTGTACATTCTAAGGATAATAGAACATTGAAAGGCATACTGCATAGCATTAATGGACTGAATGCCCAACCCCCCTTTGAGAATGGGACGACTAATAGAGTCCCAAGAAACCATGTGCAGTTTCTTAACATGAGAGGAATCTCCAAAAAATAAGAATCTAGAACATGCCTTCTTGATAAATTTACACACCATTTTAGGCAAAATAGAACCACGAATCCAGTAGCCAATGGTGTTTTGGATAATGAATTTTAAGTACTGAAGACGCCCTGCTAACGACAGCAAGTTAGCTTTCCAACCATTCATTTTTTTATTTACACTATCCATGAGGGGAAGAAAGTCTTCAATTTTAAGGTTATAGAAAGACAACGGAATACCAAGATAGGTGATCTTGGTAGTAATGTTGTGTATTGAAAGAATCTGGCAAACTTCTTGTTGATTCCTAAAGTGCTTAGGAAACATGATGGCACTTTTACCAAAGTTAATACATAAACCCGTGGTGTTACCAAAATCCAATAAAATGTTGGCAAGCTTATGACAGTTCTCTTTAGTGGCCTCTCCAAATACTAAAACATCATCCGCATATAAAAGGTGTGTAAGCTTGAAATTATCCACAGAGACACCTTTAAAGTCTCTTCCCTCAAGAAGATTCGAAAAAGCATCCATAACAAGACAGAAAAGGTAGGGGCTAAGTGGACAACCTTGTCTCAACCCAGCAGAAGAGTTGAAGTACCCCTCCAAAGCACCATTTAGAACTATTGAGAAATTGACATCTGTGATACACATTTTAATCCAATTAGTAAAGATGCTGGGAAAACCTTTTTGAGCCAGCCTGGCTAACACAAAGTCTCGGGATACGGAGTCAAAAGCCTTTTTAATGTCTAATTTAGCACAGAAAATTTGAGCACCACCCCTCCTGGCAGCAGTGGCAAGGATCTCACTAGCAAGCAATATGTTGTCGGTAGATATCCTTGATTTTAAGAAGCCAGATTGATTTGCCTCTATAATAGCAGGCATAATCAATTTTAACCTGCAAGCTATGACTTTAGCAATGATCTTGTAGACAACATTACAAAGCGCAATAGGTCTATAAGCTGAGATATTATCTGCATTTTTGTGTTTAGGAACAATAGCTAGAGCAGTAGCTTTGAGACCATTAGGCATGTAGCCTTTAGAAAAAAAAGACCTAATAGCTTTGCAAACCGTGGGACCAATAATGTGCCAGGTGGATTTGAAAAAATGGAAGTTGAACCCGTCAGGACCTGGCGCTGAAATAGAAGAACCTTTGAAAATAGCATCTTTAATCTCATCATCTTTCACACCAGAAGTTAGCTCATTAACATGAGAGATATGTAAAACAGAGCCTATAGGAAATAAATCCATATTGAAGAAAGAGGGGGGTGGTGGGTTATAAAGAGCTTGGAAATGCTGAATGGCGGAGGCAATGACCTCCGTCCTAGTGGCAGAGGGAGAAGCCGCAAAAAGATTGCCAACCGACTTGGAGCTTCCCCTCCTGCTCCTAATTTTCCCATACAAGAATTTAAGGTCGTCCTCCCCGTGCTTCAACCAATTAACTTTTGCCCTTTGCATGATCCAAGAAGCATGAATTTCAGAGAAAGCTGCAATTTTGGCATTGATCTCTTTTAAGGAAACATTAGCGCATGAGTTTTGAGGATCAACATGTAAAAAATCTAAGAGATCTCTTTGGGAATTAAGCAGACTGTCCATATGCCTACTTACCAAGTTGTAAGTAGACCAAGGTTCACATTTGATACAAGCTTTTAACTGTCTCAGAATATTACAAAGATGAGATAAAGGATTTCCAGAGATAGGAGCAGAAAATACCTCTAAGAGAATATGCCAGAAGCTGTCAAGTTTAGTCCAGTAATTTTTGAAAAGAAATATGTGCCGTACCTGATCCAAAGTACCAGAGTGAATAATGATAGGGCAGTGGTCTGAAGTTGAGGGACTTTGAAGGGAATAGTAGGACTCCGGAAAAACTTTCATCCAGCAGTCATTCACAAGCACCCGATCAAGTTTAATGTGTATGGGATTATCCGGACGTTGGTTAAACCAGGTAAATTTACTACCAACCGAATGAAGGTCTAAGAGACTGTTAACAAAAATCATGTTGTTGAAGTCAAAAAGAGCAGATTGAGTTAAGGGAGAACCACCCATTTTTTCAGATGCAAAACGACAACAATTGAAGTCTCCCACAATAGCCCAAGGAATATCCGCAGGTGGAGCAATTTTCCCAATAGTCTCCCAAAGCTCCTTACGATCATTAGCACTGTTTGCTGCGTAGACAACCGATAATTGAAACTGAGTGTGAGAGCCAACAGAAACCATCCCAGACACAATCTGAGATGAGGTATGGAAGGGATTGAAGCGCATTTTATTATCGTTCCACTTAATCCAAATTCTACCCGAATTTGAGAAACCAAAATTGTGAGAACTATTTTCAAGAGAGAAAATATAATGGGAAATTTCAAAGAACGGATCTTGAAAAGCATGAGCATGTATTCTAGGTTCTAGAATACACAACATATCCAGTTTAAAAGACTGGGTGAGACGCTTACAGCTAAGAACTTTATCAGGTCTGTTAAACCCACGCACATTCCACACACCTATGGAAGGGATGGACATCAATGATTTGAAGAGTGGGGTTTCTTTCCCTGCTTCCCCTTTGCAGGTTTTTTGGGTCCCGCCGAAGTACTCGGCTTATACTTTTCTTTGCTTTTCTGCTTATCTAATTTGTTCTCTTGCTCAACCAATGCTTCCCTATTATCCTCTAGAGTGTTAAGTTCATCCTCCAAATTCAACGCATCAAATTTATTTGGGGATGTAACAGTCACGGCCTTAGGCTTGGCCATACCTTGAGTATGTAGTGAGCTGGACGAAGTGGATGCAACCTCTTCATCATTAGGGGAGTTCAAATTCGGGATCCCAGTAGAGGGCTTTTCAGATTCAGTATGTTCTACTTCCTTGCTGTCCACCAGATTAGAGTCAGAGACGTTGTGAACATGTACAGGGGAAGAAACAGGGGAATGTGTGTCACGACCCGACCCGATCCGGGGCGGACCCCGCTCGCACCGTGAACATGTACAGGGGAAGAAACAGGGGAATGTGGTTGATAATGAAGAGGGAGACCTATACTGTTGGAAATGGTGGGAAGAGTAGGAGATGTGGACGGAGCTTGATTGGTATGTTGTGCCAACGTGTTAGCATTCTGACTGTGATCCGGAGGAGGTGGTTTTGACCCATTTATAGAATTTGACACATTGCGTTTCCTTGGTTTCCTACTAAAACTCCTTCCACGGTTGTTTTGTCCTTCCTTACCTTGCTTATCTTCCCCAGGAATATCAGGTTTTAACGGACAATTAACAGAAAAATGCATAAGTGACTTACAGTGGTCACAAGGAAAAGGGCGCCATTCGTATTGAACCTTCAGTCTGACGATATCACCGTCCAAAGAAACCAAAATTTCTTCCGGGTATTTAGCATTACAGTCCACAAGAACACAGATCCTTGCAAAGGTTAGTCTGGTCTTTTGCTCGGTCAGGTTGTCTGCAGCAATGGGAACGCCAATTTTGCTAGCTATACGCGAAATCCCTTCCGAGTTCCAGCAAGCTAGAGGAAGGTCGTGGATTTTCACCCATATAGGTACAGAGTCAAAATTGTCCCTCTTAGGTTTGAATTTGGGGTGCCACTTTTGTAGGATAAACGGCCTACCCAGCAGAAACCACACCCCACGAAGCCAAACCATGTCGAAATCTTCCATGCAAGTAAATCTGATTAGAAAGAAACCTTCACTTAAAGATAGAAGCTGTATGGAACCTTTGAGACTCCAGGTTTTCTTCATCGCTCCCAATAGCGCTTCATAGAAAGGACGACGACCAATAGAGTAACCAACCAAGCATAAGCTCCAGTCCTCACCACCCTTGGACAACTTTTCATCAGAGAAAGGCACAATCTCTGGTTCGGAAGGAAAGTGAGATAGCTTTAGGGCTTTAGGTGACGAAGATTCTGGCGCGAAAACCAAGTTCCAGTCCTTAGGAGTGAACCTGGAAGACTTGCCCGGAGACTTGACTAACGGAGGGAATTCCGCAGAGCAAAGGGAACCACCCTCCATGAGCAGAAGACGGAGAGACCTCCGGCAAAGCCGGAGGGGAGGAGGGAAGAAGTGTGTACCAGAAGGGAGCCGATGGAGGCGGGAGAGGAAACCCTAGCCGACCCCGAGAAATTTTCTATGATTTATGAAGCAATTTTTCAACTTTCCACCATGGAAGCCGAACTTCTAAAAAAAAGACACATTAAGAGCTAATGCTTAAAATCATCAGAAAGAAGAGTTCTATTGACTCTGAAGTAATTTATACAGGACAAGATGATAATTCTGTTTTTTTTAATTAATTATAGATTTATTTTAGTTTATCATATTTAATTGTTAAGATTATCTTTATTTTTGAATTAAAAAGAATTTATTTTCTTTTCTTTTCACATAAATGAATTGGTAAGGGTCCCCACCTAACGTCTGTCACCTTGATGGGTTCTTAGAAAAAAACATTAGATGATATAATTCATTAGTTATCTGTATTGAAGTTTTAAATTTAATTTGATTTTATCTTGTATCTTTTTTTTTTTATAAATATGGGTTCTATGACTTGTGATTGAGATATTGAATTACTGAATGAAAGAATGTTGAATGATACTCTTTGTCTCTAACCTAGACTTTTGTTATACGGAAATCTATTCCAATAGGATTGTCTCTCTTCCTGACCTTTTCTCTCTGTCCACTCTCCCACTCGCTCTTCAGTGTACTCTCCCGATACCGTCTTCTATTGCAACTCACTTGCAATTAATCGCCACAATCCATTCAGTCTACACTCCTTATCGGAACTGCAGCTGGGAGTCATACCTTCCCAGCATCCTTTTAGCGTCAAAGGAAGAAAACAAAATCGAGATCATTTGGAGACCAATACGATTTCAGAGAAAGAACAAGAAGATCTAGAAGGAAATTCATCATCAAGGTCCATCAATAAATTGGCATCAAATTAACTTTTTTCTGTTGTTTTATATATATTTTTTTATGCATTAGAAACTAGTTCTTCTATCTATGTGCCATACTTATAACCTTTCCAAACATAAATATCGTCTTCTACATCTATCACGAGGCCTAAGAAAGTTCCCAACTTGTCTGTATTGTTCATTCACTTCATTGTAACCTTAAATTATGACCAATGTTGCAATTGTTTACTGCAGTTCTTGCAGTTATGTTGATGGCAGTGGAAACATTCATGATGCGGAAGTGGGTGAAGTTCAAGCACCTAAAGCAGACCTCTTGTGTAAGATGTACATAAAGTGGATCTGAACTCTTACTGATCATTAGCTCTATGTTTAGAATTTTTATTTATTCTATGGAGATTGATTATTTTATAGAAGTGACACTTCTAGCATGTTTTCTGGTAGAGTTCACGGTGCGTGAAGTAAATGTTTCATATTAAAGGATTGCTTGTTCTTTCAAGTGGCTTGGGAAGAAATCATTGAATTCAAGTGTTATTGATGAGACATCTTTAGCTTTTATTATTTATTCGCACTGTAGTACTTATATGAAGGTCCTGTATGTTTGGGAGTTGAATGTTCATGTCTTTCCATGTAGTTCCATTTGCTGAAAAGCTGATTGATGGGATAAACCAAAGTCAGCCAAGGCGTCGAGCATTGATGCTTTTCTGTTTGGAATACTACAATGCACATGCACGAGTAAGTCAGAATTCTTTGTCATGAACCACATCATTTATCATACAGTAGATTTAAGAACCGTATGCATGTTTGTTGATGAGTGCAATAAATGCTAAATAAAACAGCTAATCGCATGATGCTTATGTTAGGAATACTGCTCCAGTCTGTTTATCTTTCTTGCTTCCTGAATAAATTGCCACACGACTCATATTTAACAAATCAGGTGACTTCTAAACTTTTTTAGAAATTAACAACTCCAACATTCTCAAAAAAAAAAAAAAAAAAGTATCTACATCACTGCAATTTTTGTGTTGCTTTGAATGACCAGCTCAATTCAAAGCTATAAATTTCATGTTATAAGATTTGTTAGAGTCTAGTGTTATTACTACAATTAGACAATGTAATAGATAAAATCACACAAATCATAGTTAAAATTCAGTCTAGAATATCACCTCTTAAAATAAGAACTTGCTTTCTTTGAAGTTTTTTTTTTTTTTTTTTAAATAATAACTTGCTTTCTTTGAAGTACACCTGGAAATACGAGGAATTAGGGTGTTGCACCGATACACCTATTTATGAAGGCGTGCTATATCCGATACACGGATACGCCTCCGATACTCCATCGATACGTGTCGGATACGCCAAAGACGTATCCAATTAAAATACTATTTAATTTCAAAAGGACATACGTATCCGATACACGTGTCCGTTGAAAAACAAAAAGATATCCTAAAAAAAAAAAGATGCGTCGTATTTACTTCCGCGGCTGCGACAAAGTTCTCTCATTTTCGAGATGGATTTGAGTCTCTTATTGATATGAGAATATTAAAAATTACTAATCTTTCTAATGTGAAACAAACCCGTTCAGGAGTTACTTTAAGGAAATTAAAGAGAGCAGATTTAACAAAATAATCCAAAATAAAAGTATCACTTATAGCAAAAGATTGATCCTTGGAGTTCTCAGTTTTTAACTTGCTTAGGAAAAGAAGAGCCAAATCGATCAACCAAACAATTCAAGAAAACACAAAGAATAATTGTACGCTACGACAATAAACAAGAGTCCACGATTTAATAATGAGAATTTTCACCTTTGGAGTCCATACGCTCAACTAGTCTAGGCTTTAGTGGAAGAAGAGTCTCCACATTAGAACCGAGGTCACTCCGAGGAAGAAGGAACCTAAGATCGTCGTTCTTGGATAGGTGGCCGGAGCGGTGGAGGAAGATGGTCGTCCGATGATGATCCAACGTCCCTTTGATCTTTGCTCGTCGATCACATCGACTAATGTGTATTGGATACGGTCGATGTAACCTTCAATAGTGTCTTCGAAATCGAAGCCCACGTCAAAGAACGGTGATTGGTGAATGTCAACTTGATCTCGATCGTCATGCACAAACCCAAAGTTCCATTCGGGTTCCGCCATGCATTCTTGTCAGGAGTTGAGATAGCATCCAAGAAGAAGAAGGGGGGTGGAAGGTGGCGGCTTGGTGAGGTGAAGGTTTGAGAGGCTAATGATCAACCTCAATTTGAATTTCCCTTAGACAGAGGAGGGAAATTAATTGAGAATTCCAATTAATCCCATGAGGGGCCAGCGGTTTTCAGAGAAGATAAGGGATTAATTAGATAGGAATTAATAGCAAGTGAGAGAATTTGGACTCTATGCATGGCCGGCCATTTAGAAAAAAAAAGGGGGTCATGAATTGTGAGCAAGTGGGGCCCACGCACTAGTCTACTAATGAAATAGATTTGAATTTATTCAATTAAATAGAGCTAAATTTATTCTCAGATTTCTGAGAGGAGGCGTTTCCAAAATTGCGGAATTATCAATTTGAATTGATCATTCAAATTAGATCCAATTAATATTGGAGCCACAAATCAAGGAGCTAATTTGGGAAGCATTTATGCAGCAATTTGAATTTCAAATTGGGATTGAAATCCAATTAAGAGGATGGCATAAATTCATGAATTAATTTTGGCAAGTGGGTAACAGCTCTTGGTGAATTTGAATTTCAAATTCAAAACCCAAGAGGGGCCGGCGGGTAGAGAGGTGGAGGGGGTAGGAGGCGGCTGCAAGGGGGGAGGAAGCCGGCGGGCTGGGGAAGGGCTGGCTGGTGGCTGCTGGCCGGCGGTTAGGGCAATCCAGGGAGGGGGCGGCGGCAAGAGCAAGGGAGGGAAGAGTGGGGGAAATTCTCGGGATCCAAAACATGAAAATCCAATCTCCCACTAGTGGCTTCAATCCAAATCTCCACAACACGAATTGATCAAGAGAATTAAAGAAAACGAAAAACAAGAAAACCTAGAACTCACAAAGAGATCTAGTTCTCCTACGAACTCACTAAGAGATCGAGGAGGGTCAACTCACAAATGAGAAACATAAGTGGCAAATTTCATTCACCAAAAATTGAAATATCACAATATGCATGAGGCTCATATAAATGAAGGCCAAAATAGACTTAATACAAAGGAAGATATATACAAAAAGCTTGTCGGGCTTATGTCCACCTAGCGATCCAATGATCCATGAAGGCAAAAGCGGAAACACATCAAATAAAATAAACTACACTACATAAATGAAAAAATACAAATCTGATCGTGGCCGTCGATCTCCGGAGTCTCCTGATGGTCATGTGTCGAAATCGCTGACGATGTCTCATCACTTTCCACTCTAATGAGCTTGAATTAAAAAAAGCGCTTGATGATTTATTAAAGATGAATATAGAAATTCAAAGACAAACCATGAAAGAAGCTAATCATATCATTCCTTCTATTCGATAGTTGAAACTTTAATGTGCTAGACAATTTAATGTTTATGCTTTGTTGTTGTAACTGGGACATTTGTAATGCTTACTTATATTTTGATATTATAAGCTACAAGGCGTACAAATGATGTTGTTTGTTCATTTTTTTTTTTTGTAAATTCAAATATTATGCTTTGATTGCTTTCTTAATTTTTATGTATGATTTATAAATTATGATGCCGTACCTGTATCCTGTATTTTTAAGAATTGTCGTGTCCCGTATCCGTATCGTGTCATATCCGTGTCGCCGTATCCGTATCGGTGTAACGTAGGGGTGAAACTATATTTTAATGATCACAAATAAAAAAATCAGCCAAAAATTGAAAAAAAAAACCCAAGTAGATTAAGACACCCTTAAAAAAAATTAGTTTCAACATATTTGATTAAAATCAATCATATGCTCGTAAAAAAATAATAACAAATTATTTAGAATAAAATAAAATTATAAAATAATCTATCAATTAGAAAAATTAGACGTCATTGTAGTACAATGAGATGAATTTCGATGAAATAGGTAGTTGCTCATGTTGCACCGTACTCAAAGGAATAATAGTTCAACTTATGGGCTCTTTGGTTGGATTAATTTGATTGAAAAAAGAATGCAGTGTAAAAGGAATGTATTGCAAAATGAATATTTTGGAGTTTTTTGGATGAATGTAGGTGAATGATTTTTTTTTTGTTAGAAGTAATGAATGTAAAGTAAAATCCTAAATGGTGATAGGCGGCGGCCTGCAGTGGTGAGTGAATGAGGGCGGCGGCGGGTGGCGGTCAAACAAGCTTGTGTTGTAAAAGGTTTTCACTCAAAATCAAAGAAATTTGTTTTACACTCAAAATGAATTTCTTCACTTTACATTACATTTACTATACTTATCTTTGTCTCATTTTATATTCCAACCAAACATCAAAATTTGTAAAACTCCTGCATTTGGAATACTTTACACCTTACACCTTAAAGTAATCTAACCAAGCAGCCCCTATTTCTTATAATTAGTGAACATAAAGCTGAAATTATTATTAAGTAGAAAGTTCCTTTATAGTTTAACGTTCTTCTCAGATGGAATCTTTGATGAGGAAGGTTGAAATTGTCAGCACAACGCAGGCTCAGTCCAAAGTTTAAGGTAGCATGAAGGTGATTAATACTGGCTATGTTTTACCCTGAGTTTGGTACAACAACTAGTTATTGAAGGTCAATGTGCCCCTTTCATGGGTCAAAGAGTAATCAGGTTGCATTAGGATTCATAATAATTCGTTAAGTAATCACTATAAGCTGAAATACTTGCAAATAGATATAGAAAAATTTGTTTCAGATGACCATGCAACTTGTAAGTGCAAAAAGTTAGCAGACATTTAACTAGGGGGTGTTGGGAGCTATATTAAACTCAGAATTCTAATTCCCTTGATAATGTGCTTAATATTCAGTCTTGTACGTCTGTCTAATGGGATTGCTTGTGTATTATGTGATATTTAGACAATTAAGCCTAAATGAAATACTGACCTTGTGGGTGTGAATGGCTTAAAGAGTCATAATTTATCTGAGTTTATTTTTTTTTATTTGGCAGCCCAATATCCACATGATGCTATTAGTTATGGCTAAGCAAGCTTTAAATTCAAAACCTTTACAACAACTTCTAAAGCTCTTAAAAACGGAACTAATTGACAGCCTTCACCCACCTATAAATGCAAATAGTACACTCACATTGCTTGCTAGATTCTTGGATTCCTTTAATGCTATTATATCATATTTTACCCAAATCACTAGTAGTGAGATATGATAATCTTTTAGGGTTCTAGAACATTGATTTTTCTTGCAAGAACCGACACACATGCATTTCATTGGTTCTTGTTCGACAATCTTTACAAAATAAAGGAATTCTTGATGTGCCGATGTTAGACCGGTCCAGCCAGTTTCGTATGGACCGGATCATGCGAAACAAGTGGACGTTTTCCGCCTATCTATGTTACCGACCGAACCGCAAATTCCACGGAGCAATTTAGGAAGGATTTTACGGGAGTTAGGAGGGAATTTGAATGCATGGATTGTTTAGATATTTACTATTGAATTGTATGTATTAAATAGTTTGTTTTTCTAGGGTTATGACATCTTGAATTTGGCTGAAATTTGAGATATCCTAGATTTAGGTTTTACTTTGGGCTCTAGCGGCATCTAGAGATTGGGAGAGATCAATCCTCCTCTCGAATAGAGGATCAATTTTATCTTGGTATTTTCCGCTTCATTTTCTTCTATTTTCATGATTTTGTGCGGAGAAATTTTGCTGTTTTCTGAAGATTGATAGAAAAAATTTGAGATCTACAAGTGTTTCCTATCAGCCCAACAGCTACGTTTGTAAACCGTGTTTCTATCTCAATATATAGCCATGGAAACCCTAAAATTCGGTTAAAGCATTGAGCAAGTTTTTTTTTTTTGGTTATGTTCTTGAGAAAAAAAAAAACCAGTAATAGCCTTCATTACAGAGTTCTAATGAGCCCCCCACCCCCCCTTCTTTGCTTGCAGGATGCATTGATGTTATCAATTGATCAATATGGGTTCGATGTCCTTGCTAAGGTCTCCCAATCTATGACAAGCAACATCCAGAACCTGGAGTATGTTTGGAAGGAGTTCAGGTTCTCATTCAAAGAAGAGGCAAGTGATCTCGAAACTTTTTGTAATTTACTTATTGGTTTGGAAGAAGAGGTTCTTCAGAGTGTTCGAAGCTACAGCGGTCTTCATTAATATCCTGCTTAGGTAGCACCTAGGATTTCATTTAAGCACGATTTTGTAAATCCTCTAAATCTGGATTTACGAAATTCTAGGAGGGTTAAATTCTAAAAACTGTTTGGTAACATTTATAATAAATCATGTGTGACTGTTTGACTATTCAATTCAAATTGATAACATTTATGATAAATACTGTGTGACTGTGTTGACTGTGTTGACTATTCAATTCAGAATTTAAAGCGGTTAAGAGATTTGACATGCATTTCTTGGATAATTAAAGTACAACATAAGTTTAAATAAAATACAACAAATTGTATCAATTATTTAAATTTTTAGTTTTTATTATGATTTACTTTATTTTTATCAAATTGAAATAAAGTTATAATTAGCCTAATCTAATATTTTTATTAATTATTAATTTGTTAATTACCTAAATATAATCATTTTCATTAAAATAAGTGATAAATAATATTAATTTACATGAATTAATGTCTAATTAATTAATGAATATTAATTATTAAAATTAGTTAACTCATTTTAGCCTGTTGGATCATAAGTTAAGACATTTTGATTGGAGGTAATCATGGGAGCTTGTTCGCTGTGAAGGTAATTTTCTCCCTTTTTGCCAAATTCCGTAAATTCATCGAATCCTTCAGAAATTCAAGATTCACCATAAAAAGGGATAATTTTTTGTCTACGGCGGCTTTCATTTATCGTGAGATTTGCTTTTGCATTTTAAACCGTTTAGCTGAATTTTGCTCAAATCTGCCTCAAGCCCGACATAAATCCTGCGACCAAACATCTCCTTAGAGGTTTACATTAGGGACTTCCTAATGAGATTTAAGGAACAACGAGGATAAGAAGTTATGAAAGGAAAGCTGGTGTCCAAGGACTTTCAGCCCATTGTTTAAAATCTTAAAATCATGTAACAGCAATTTTTACAATATTTATTTAGCAATGCAATAATTCAAAAATTATTAGGGCATCTCCAACGGAGAACTCCATTTTTCACACCAAAATACCACAAAACGCAAAAATAGCGTGGTGCTGCTCTAATCGAACGCCATTTTTTTGCTTATACGCGAAGGTAACGATCCTTCTACTTTGGCGTGTTTTTCTGGTTGAGAGAGCAAAATAGCGTGGGTGAATAGTGCAATGCCAATATTGGCGTTGCACTGTTCAACCACAAGCAAATGGCGGACGTTTTGGCGTTCGGCTGGAGCGACCGAACGACGTCAAAGACTCGTTTGGCATTTGGTTGGAGATGCTCTTAGGTGTGAATCATAAGAGTACATAATTATATGTTCATTATGTAGTCTAATCAAGTGCAGATCCAGTATAATTTTATGTTATAAAAAAATCGAATACAGCTGGCACCGAGATGCCGAGATCTATGCCGATCGCAGGCCCTGTGGCTTTTCCGGCCATTTCTCCGGCGAGAAGAGAGAGAAAACTCACCGGAAATGAAAGTAAAAGAATAATAAAAATCGTTGGTTCAGAGCGAGGCGTCGAGATGCGAGAAAGCTAGGTCATGTAAGTTAGGTGATGTTTCTAGAATTTTCAGATGGACGTCACCCGTTGGATCTAGAACTAGGAGCTGATTTTGGACCGTCCGATCTCGGATGTAGATGAGAAGGGTTTGTGTTTGATGGAGTTGGGTTCTTTCTGTTCATTGGACGAGGAGTAATGATGATTTATGTATACCGCTACCTCGCTACATATCAAATAAGCTCTTTTTTTTTAAAAAAAAAATATTAATTATCGTAAATTTGTCATTTATACAATATCATCAAAAATTAATATTTATTTTCATAAATAAATATTTTTAAATTTTCTTTTAAAAATGAAATCTTCTATCAAACGATCCCTTCTCATTTACGCATTTTTTACATATCCACCTACTTAGATCTTACGTAGGGTGTCAAACTTGGGTTGTGGATTGAACCAGACATTGATCCACCACTGGTTGACATGATCCGACCCGTTGAAGTTCTAGGTTGACCCGACCCAACAAGAAGAAAATGGTTATTTTCACAACGAGTGAGCTTTCTAGTGTCGTGATTGTTATTTCCAATCCAACTACGATGAATTGTCGTGAATTTTGAGCTGACAGGAAGGAACATCGTCGAAGGAGGCGAAGAACTTGTCTTTCTCGAACGGTTGATTGGGTTGAAGCCTTTGTCGTCGTCGAAGTGGTCGCACTGTCGTGGGTTGTTGAGCGACTACCACGGGAGAAGAGGAAAAGCAAACCCTAGGCGGACAACATCGGTTGTGGTGTCTAACCCTAGGACTGATGTATGCATGTGTGGTTAGTGCTTGCGGGTGGAACAGGTGAACTTGAACGTGGGGAGTCGAGGACAGACTGCTGTGCGAGATTATCTTGGTCAACTTCTGGTTAACTGGTTGACTTGAACTCAACTCATTTTTTTTCAAATGGGTCGAATCCTAGAACCCGAACTCAACTCATTTACGAAATGGGTTGATCCAATCCTGAAATTTTTTTGGGTTCGGGTCGAATTTTCAGGTTGTGTCAAATATTAACACCCTATCTTACATTAATTATCAGTTGCCTCTTTGGATTTAGGATTTGGTGTTTTGGCATTTTCATATAGCGTTTGTCAAGCAAGCAAAAAGGGGAACAAGTGTTGATGTGTAGGTGGTGATGTATGGTACCTGGTAGGAATTTAAAGCAAACTCAACATGAGATTTGCAAAACACATAATGCACTTTTTAATTAGATTAAGCAAAGTTCTGTGGTGATAAATGACAAAAAATCGCTTTGATCCAGCATGAATCTCGAGGCATATCTTACTTGGCAACTTTCAAAATTAAATTCGAGACCATCCAAATTCCAATTTCAACAAACTTCTAGTCAAACTGAATGCCTCGAAGAGACTTGAAAAAGTCTCAGCCCCTAAAGGACCTAACGACACCAAAATTGGTCCAATCCGAACCCAAAAAGGTCCAAATTGCGCAGGGGGGGGTGGAGTTTATTTGAAATTTTAGAAACACAAATTAGATGATCAAAAGATATCCAAACATAGCATGTTTATAATCAAATTGAGCAGCTTAACGAAATGAATCAAACGAACCTAACAACGCTTAATTCTAACATCATTTGGGCATATAAATGCTTGACTAATGCTCTATGATTAAGGGGATCAATATGGGTCGTCCAATAAAGCACTCTGAATTTATCTCATATATTCTCCATATTTACAGACACGCCACTTTAAAAAAATTTAAATAGACCCCCACTTCCAACATGAAAGGGGGCTTAGAACCTTCAAGGGCTTGGACCTTTGGGGATGAGACTTTTTGTTGGAGATTTCAGAGAGCTCTTAGGATTCAAGGATCCTAAAGTTCTACCCAAGCACTGTCGCTGGTGAACTTCCATTATTCGTCGTTGGACCACTGCTGTACACCGACAATCACCAAACCATCACTTATTTGTTGATTATTGTTGAAACTCTACTTGCCCGCTGACTGACATTATACATATGTCCGGCCACCATCGACACACTACTCATACCATCGTCGCTCGTCGACTATGGTCCCCCTGACTGCTATCACCCACCAACTATGTTCCCTCAGACCACTGTCATTCGTCGATCACGGTCCCTCCGACCTCCATCGCCCACCAGCTATAGTCTCTTCGACTTCTGTCACGCACAACTACATTCCATTCGACCTCCATCTCCCACCGACCATGGTTCCTCCGACCACTATCACCAATCGATTATGGTCCATTCAACCACTATCGACCATCGATTTCGGTCCCTTCGACTTCCATCTCCTACTGGCTATGATTTCTCCTGCCGACTATAGTCCCTTTTATAATAGCCTAAATTTTTAACTATCAAGATATTATCTGCTTTGATCGAAAGGACTCAAGATTTTATCTTGGTGGTGTAACTTCACAAGAGGTCGCCCATCCTAGAATTTCTCAGGGATGAACATGCTTAACTGCAGAATTTATTAATGAAATTTTAATCATTACACCAAAAGGTGCCTCAATATTTAAGAGTTTAGCTTCTTTTATTTAAAGGATTTCATAATTCTCCACTTAAGTAATTGATGTCCTTGTTAGTATCTTTATCTCATAATCATCCACCAGGTAGATAGAATTTAGAGGTGGCCCCTACAAGTTCATCCCCACTACGTAGCACTTTGTCTCATACGAGATTCAAGAGGTGGCTCTCATGGCGTACCACTTTGTCATGTATGACACTTAGTTCTCATTTTCCGGCTGATGTATTACTCTGATACCAATTGTAATAGCCTAAAAACTCTTAACTATCGATATATTGTCAGTTTTGGCCTAAGGGCCTCACATTTTTGTCATATTGGTGTAACTTTTCAAGAGGTCATTCATCCCATTCTTCGAGATGAGCACACTTTACTGTGATAACTGCAAAGTTTTTTAATAAAATTTTAATAATTACACAAAATGACTCCTTAATGTGTAAGAGTTTAACTTCTTTTACTTAAGGGATTTCCACACCTCCAATGTTTGTTGCCTGCCAAGTATGGTCCCTGTGACGTCCATGGTTCCTTCTAACCCCCCCCGGGTAAATATAGCCCCTCAAACCACCATTGTCCATTGTGATTACAACCCTACGATACCCATCGATTACTGTCCCTTCAACCTCCTTCACCTTCCCACTATGATCACTTCGACCATCATCGCTCATTTATTTACGATCCCTCTGCCCCCCAAAGCCCACTGATTACAATCCCTTTGATATATGTTGTCTGCTGACGATGGTCCCTCAGACCTTCGTTGCCTGCCGACCACGACCTTTCCCGACCTCTGTCATCCACTGACTACGATCCATCTAAACTTCGTTGTTCGCCCACTATGGTCCCTTCAACATTCGTCGTTCGTTAAGTATAGTCCCTTCGACCACCATTGGCCGGTCATTATGGTCACTCTAACCTTCGTCGCCCGCCGACTACTGCCCCTCTAACATTCGTAGTCCCTCAAACCACTGTCGCCCTCCGCTGAAGATCCACATGACCACCATCATCTGCTGATTATGGTCCCTCTAGCCACTGTTGCCAGCTAATTACCGTCCTACTAACCAAACAAACATGCCAACATTCTCTTGAGAACAACCCTCATGTGTATCTTGGTGCCCCCCACCGAAAGAGTGGATGAAAATCAATATTGATGCTTCCTTAACTTCTTCGGGATTAGTTGGAATTGGTGGTGTTTTTCGGGATTGTAATGGAAGATTCATTCTTGCATTTGGGAAGAAGATGATGCATTGGGATATTGCACAGTTGGAAATGGGAGCTATTCTCTCTGTCAAGGACTACGTCAAAAGCTGGATGAGCGACTATAAAGGGGTGATAATGGAAAGTGATAACATTAATGTTATCAACTACATTCAAAAATCTTTGAAGCAGAACAAAGGTACCATGATCTTCAATTTAGTAAGTGATTCTTTATTTGTGAATGGTTTCAATAAACTTGTCTTTGTACATGCGTATAGAGATTGTAATAAGGTAGCCAACTTGTGTGCTACTATGGCTTTAGATGATAGTTTTTACTTTGATAGCTTTTCTTTTGATGATATCCCTCCCTTGAAGGCTAATTTAATCAAGGAAGAATATCATCCTCTTCATGTTTGTACTTAGTTCTTTACTTTTTTCTCCTTAATGCATTATGCATTTCTTCAAAAAAAAAAAAGAACAACTCTCATGTCATTGGATTCTTCCAGCTCCAACCATGTAACTTGCCCGTTATGATGTGTATTTGCTACATTGAGTCAAGGTCTTCAAGTGAGGAAGAGTCTCATTTATATCTCTTATAAATGTTGCACCTCTCTCTCTCTCTCTCTTATCTTTGTCTGCGCTAAATCTTCGTTCAAAGCTAAGACATTAAAGCTCTTTATCTCTCTACCACCACAAATGTTCTATGACACAACATTTGTTATTTTTAATTCTTTCAAATTACACTATGTATTTGACTTCCTTAAATCTAATGTTAAAAAAAAATAGTTAAAATAGAGAAAGATGACATGCAATATTTTTTTTAATGTAGCTCATGAAACAACCCCTTAATAGAGTCGCAACACAAATGTTCAATATAAATTTAAATTTCAGTGCAAATTGACATATTATTAATTAATTGATCAAGAAAAATGGAGATTTTGTTATGATATCAAAGGAGCATTTAGTGATCTATTCCATGACAATTGGAAAATTTTGTTTATAAGAAATTGTGAATTCGAATCACACATTTTGCAATTCGATCGTCACTCCTCCTTTCTAAAAAATATGAATTTATTTAATAATTATATATTTATCTATAACTATTTCACAAATATAGATAAATTCTTTTTTTTTTTTCAAATCAATAAAATTTGTAATTGGATTTATTTTTATTGATTTGGTCGACAGAACAGCAGCAGCTTATGTTTATTCGTTTCAAAATTAAATTTGCTCAAAATTGGATTGATCTAACCCATTTAAATGTAGACAAAATATTTAAATCTTTTAAATATGTTTTAGCAATAACTCTAATTATTTACCACACTAAAAAAGACGAATTCATATATCATTATATATATATTAAAATGTTTCCAGAAAAATATTTATTTGTTATTTGTTATAAAATAATATTAGTGAGATTTTTATTTATATAAAACAACAACAACAACATCAAGCCTTTATCCCACCACGTGGGGTCGACTAGATGAATTCAATGAACCCAAGATCGTCGAATTTCGACATCACCAAGACTATTTAATTGTCGATAAATGGTCTATAAACTAGGGAATCAATATGAACCGCCCATAAAAAATATTCTAACATGTCCTTGATATTCTTCCGATGTACTAGTCATGTCACAAAAAAAAAAGACTCCTCATTTTTCATTGAAAGGAAAGCAAGCAATAGAAAAAACATAACATACGAAGAAAAATTTAGGAGCTCTCTTGCCACCAGACTTATCATCAACCACCACTCAGCCACTAACCTAGTTGGACTTCTGCCCGGCCGCCGACCTTCGCCACACTTCTGATTGGATACCGATCTTCGTCAAACTTTCGTCCGCCACCTACCATCCCCAGACTTCTGCTTAACCATCATCATTCTCATAAAGTTCAACCCACTTCTTGAACTATTATAATTGTGCTCAAGTTTAGGAACAATCTTTATAATATATTCAATATTAATTGAATTATTTCAACTGGGCGTGACCCGTGATTTTTTTCCTTTTTTCAGTGTTTTTCATGTAAAAAACCTAATGCTTTTTAAGTCCTCTGATTGTGTGTTGAATATCCATGTAACACTAGGACAAACAATTCTCTTACTTTAATGCCGTACACACATAAAATTTAATGACTTGCATGTACATCTTTAAATAAAATTATTATCATTTTGTATAATTTTTTTGTAAATATCATGAAAGCACCAGCGAATGCTTAGCTTGATTGGTGGGCAAGTATGACTCAGAACCCCCAACCCATGCTCGATTCTCCTAGAGCGGCATCGCCTCTTAAGTGGGGCACATTCAAGTGTGGGACATGAGGTTTCTGGGATAGGTGGCTCTTATAGGTTAACAGAAGATTAGCTACACTGCCAAACGCTCTTTTGGAGGTGGTAGCGAGTGAACCCATTCAAAAAAAAATCATGAAAGCATCAAATTGTGCAAATGCATTTAAGTTAGTAAAATAGATAATAGTAATTTGAAATAAAATTAATTTTTTTTTTTTTTTTGAAACATTTAAGTCAATTAAAATAAATTCATATATACATCACATACACAGAAATTCTAATAAAATTTTTTTTAATTGAAAGTTTAAGCTTTTAACAAACAAGCGAAAATGAGCTGTGTATAATAATAACAATTAATAACAGTAAGAATTCAGGCAAAGCATGTCGATCTTTGACCGTCCAAATTCCAAACTGATGGGCTCATCAAGCTGGCAAAAGCCGTCAGAAAGTTCTAGAGGCACCTAGTCCTATATAATATCTCTCCACCTTACAAAGCTCTTCCTCTTACGACCTCATTCTCAAGCCCTAATTCTGCCGCCGCTACATTCCTGCTCTCTTTAGCTTTCCCTGATTCAACCTTTCAGTGCTCTAGATTTGCCCTAGATATGGCCGGAAAGGGAGAGGGTCCAGCGATAGGTATTGATCTTGGAACTACTTACTCTTGCGTCGGAGTATGGCAGCACGATCGGGTCGAAATCATCGCGAACGACCAGGGTAACCGCACGACCCCGTCATATGTCGCGTTCACCGACACAGAGCGGCTGATCGGCGATGCTGCGAAGAATCAGGTCGCCATGAACCCCATAAACACGGTTTTTGGTGAGGACTCTTAACTAGTTTGGTTTTGCCATGATTTATGTTCTAAGTTTTTCTGATGCTTGTTTGTGCGTGTAAGAGATAGTTAATCTGTTTACAACAATCTGGTAATTAATTATTTGTCTGTTTATGGATCTTTTGCATTGCTTATTTGTTGACGTTTCATATGCTAGATATTTGGTCGGGGAGGCTTAAATAGCCTATAGTATGTGGATCTGTGGTTATTTTGATTTGATTATTTCATATATCGTTAATTTTTTATTTTAGTTCTTGGTCATTTGCTGTGGACATTAATCAGTCACACTTGTGTAGTTGATCACTTCTTTATACGTTCAAAGAACGGATCTGATGTCTAAAGCGATATTGATACGGATCTGATCTAGTTTGTGGTAATCATATAAGCTATTCGTTATTTGGCTGTGAAGCTTTTTTGATAACCAAGTTAGATCTGATTTTCACCAATGCACTTTTTAATGTCATAAACGAGGACGCCTATGTTTACATAAGTAGTTTTATTGCGGTCAGAGTGCAACATAAAAAAAGTGAAGTATATTTTTAATAGTGCTGAATTCTTTTTTTTTTGGAATTGTGCTGTAAAATCAGCTTAGATTTATTGGACCTTTTATGTACATTTAGTTGCAATCAATTTTTCATCAACATGTATGAATTATACATAATAACTCATATGAATTATACCTTTTCTTTTGAGCTTTCTTTGTAATAGTCTATTCAATTAGTCTCCATGTCCTTTATATGCAGTCAAGTGATTAATAATGTGCTCTTATATAGGATGGTAGAGAGCCTCTGTTTTTACTTTCAGGCTTGTTAAATCTGAAAGGAGATTGTTATAATAAGCTCCCAATGCTTTTGCAATGAAGTTAGCACTTTCATCCAAAGCATGACTAATTGTTGCTTCAAATAATGATTGTTGGTGGTTTTACCATGTGGAGAGATTCTAATTTTTCTTATGCGATTTTTTTTTGATAAATCATATTTTAAAGAACTTTATCTCCCAAATTAATTTTTAATTGAACTATGAGCTGTCACATTTATGGTCTTCTCATTTGTGCAACAAGGCTTCTTCTAATAATGATGCCCCATTTTCACGATCAATTTTTAGCTGAACTTTGCATTCTTATTATTCTCCTGAAGCTGTATTTTGATCAATGAATATAGCTCCTTTATCTGTTTGAAAGTCCGGCTCATTCTAGTCATGGGGGTAGAAGAAGGGTTTAGGATTATTTACCAATGATGTCACTAGTCAATTTGATATTATTTAACAACTTCCTATTACCTATCTATGGAGCTTATCATTCAAAATTAATCTTAACAGAAAGGTTACCTAATGAATTTGAGCTTGTTAGTATTTACCCAACTGCAGACTGCTTTCAGTCTTTTGTGATATTAGATCTCTAATATCTGAGCATGCACGTTAAAAATTTTCCTAATGCGGTTAGCTGTTTTTATTTTCATAAGTAATAATAAACATGACTGGCAGAATCAACCAATGCGACAACACACAAGATATAGCATAAATTTCAATTAGGTTACAACTTTAGTGCTAAAGTTGTATTTTCACTGTCTAGATGTTGTTCATGCCAACTATCACTTTTTGAAGGAAGTGAGATATAATGTCTTTTAAGCACAATAGAAGAATTACCATCTTATTTGTTGGAGTTTAGTTAGTATTCTACCTAAACACAAACTTGGTTAATGTTAATATCCACTCTTATCTTAAATCTAAGACTTTTCTAAGCAATACATACATATCTGTTGCAGATGCCAAGCGATTGATTGGCAGGCGGTTTTCTGATGCATCTGTTCAGAGTGATATCAAGCTTTGGCCATTCAAAGTTATTCCTGGACCTGGAGACAAGCCCATGATTGTTGTTCAGTATAAGGGTGAGGATAAACAGTTTGCAGCTGAAGAAATCTCATCTATGGTTCTTATTAAGATGCGTGAGATTGCCGAGGCCTATTTAGGAGCGACTGTGAAGAACGCAGTTGTCACTGTTCCTGCATACTTCAATGACTCACAGCGCCAAGCCACAAAGGATGCTGGTGTCATTGCCGGTCTAAATGTTATGAGAATCATTAATGAGCCAACTGCTGCTGCCATTGCATATGGTCTTGACAAGAAGGCTACCAGCGTTGGTGAGAAGAATGTTCTCATTTTTGACCTGGGTGGTGGTACCTTTGATGTATCTCTCCTCACCATTGAGGAGGGTATCTTTGAAGTCAAGGCCACTGCAGGAGACACTCATCTTGGTGGAGAGGATTTTGACAATAGAATGGTGAACCACTTTGTCCAGGAGTTCAAGAGGAAAAATAAGAAAGATATAAGCGGCAATCCCAGAGCTCTTCGGAGGTTAAGGACTGCTTGTGAGAGGGCAAAGAGAACCTTATCTTCCACTGCTCAGACCACAATTGAAATTGATTCTCTCTATGAGGGCATCGATTTCTACTCCACAATCACTCGTGCCAGGTTTGAGGAACTTAACATGGATCTATTCAGGAAGTGTATGGAACCTGTGGAGAAGTGCCTGAGGGATGCAAAGATGGACAAGAGCACTATTCATGATGTTGTTCTGGTTGGAGGGTCCACTCGGATTCCTAAGGTGCAGCAGCTTTTGCAGGACTTTTTCAATGGGAAGGAGCTCTGCAAGAGCATCAACCCTGATGAAGCTGTTGCTTATGGCGCTGCTGTTCAAGCTGCCATCTTGAGCGGTGAAGGTAATGAGAAGGTTCAGGACCTTCTCCTCCTCGACGTTACTCCTCTCTCCCTTGGTCTGGAGACCGCCGGTGGCGTCATGACAGTTCTGATTCCAAGGAACACCACCATCCCTACCAAGAAGGAGCAGGTCTTTTCCACCTACTCAGACAATCAGCCCGGCGTCTTGATCCAGGTCTACGAGGGTGAGAGGACGAGGACCAGGGACAACAATTTGCTTGGCAAATTTGAGCTCTCAGGCATCCCACCTGCTCCCAGAGGTGTTCCCCAGATTACTGTTTGCTTTGACATTGATGCCAATGGTATCTTGAATGTTTCTGCCGAGGATAAAACAACTGGGCAGAAGAATAAGATCACCATCACCAATGATAAGGGCCGTCTGAGCAAGGACGAGATTGAGAAGATGGTTCAGGAAGCTGAAAAATACAAGTCTGAGGACGAGGAGCACAAGAAAAAGGTGGAGTCGAAGAACACGTTGGAGAATTATGCGTACAATATGAGGAACACCATCAAGGATGAGAAGATTGCCTCCAAACTTGCCGCCGACGACAAGAAGAAGATTGAAGATGCCATTGATCAGGCTATCCAGTGGCTTGAAAGTAATCAATTGGCCGAGGCCGATGAGTTTGATGACAAGATGAAGGAACTCGAGGGAATCTGCAACCCGATCATCGCCAAAATGTACCAGGGAGCTGGCCCTGATATGGGTGGAATGCCTGATGATATTCCAACTGGTGGTGGTAGCAGTGCTGGTCCCAAGATTGAGGAGGTCGATTAAAATTTTCTCTATAGTCATTTATTGCAACTTACTTGGATCTTAGTTTATTGCAACTTGTTTGCAATGGTTATCTGTTCTTCTTTTGAAAGACTTGATATTGGTTTCTATTATGCATGGCCTGAAGTCTTGGCCGAAGTAGTAGTGCGTCTTTGACAATATTTATTTTATGTTGTCATTCAGTATTGTTATGGATTTCTATTTTATCATCTTTTATTTACTTTCTCTGGAACTTGTGAAGTGGCATGCTTTAGGGTCTTTCTGATCCAGCTGGGTTGAGTAGTAAAGCAGAAGGCTTGCTGCAATCCAAAAATTTCAGTCTTTTAAAAATTCTGCTTAATTTATAATCTATGGAGCTAGAAGAACGATAGAATATTTAAAGCCATTTTTTTTATTTTACGGATTGGCCCACATAATTATAAATTATTGGTAGAAGTAAATTCTCTCATTAATTTAATTTTGTGTATTAGTTATTCACTGTCCTTTTAAATATTAATTAAATATCCTTTAGCAAAAGGGTAAGTTTTGAATCAGTCTTTCAACTGATTTGGTCTATATTCAAAATTGTTTAGGGTCATATCTGCAATGAACTGAGCATAATCAACCATTGCGGTTGATGTTTTTGATCAATTTATCATTGTTTATTTTTTATTATATGATTAGATATGAACAATTTAGATTAAATAGGGCCATTTAAATTTATAAAGATGATTTGTAAACATTTTATTGACGTTAAAACTTTTTATAATTTATAATATATTTACACAATTGGATAGATAAAATTTCAATCATCTATGTTGACTTGTGTTTTTTTTTTTTTGGGACATTTAGGCCAATTAAGGCAAATACATACACATAGACTCGAACTTTGGACCTTTTAGTTGGAAGCCTAAGCTCTCAACCAATAGGCCAAAGAGAGTTGTGTACTTGTGGTTTTCATTCTCTTTAAATTTATTGCTAATTTTATTAGAAAGACTGAGGAATATTTAGAGCTTTTTACCATGCCAAACCCAATCGGATCGCGCAATATGTCTTTCGGTCACAAGAAGCAGGATGAGACCGTGGAAATTTTCTGGCCATAGGTGAGACGCACGGTGACCAACGGCCTCTCTTCGAGTCTTAAAAAGTAAAGCAGCGACAACGTCGTCCCAAACAAGGGCCTAAATCTCATCACTTGTATTAGATTTCAACCTTTTTCCAATTTTAATCGAAAGTGGCAAATACTTCTTTTGAAACAAAAAATTTGCTTTCTCAAGGAAGTTGCATGTTTGTTGCATTCTTTGATCCCATTCAAATCTGCATTGCATGCATGATGTGCACTAGAACCCTCAACCCTAGAAAGTTTCACATCACCTCACAGTAAATAACGGAAAAATAGCAGCAGTAGACCATGTACAGCAGTGAAGAACAGTACCTTTTTCCAAAGATGAGACAAAACGTGTAAAAGCAGTGAAGAACAGTACCTTGACCGAAAGTCACAAACCCTTGAGTTTGTAAAATCAGAGAAAGTAGCAAACTATAAGATAATATATTCCAAAGATGAGACAAAACGTGTAAAAGCAGTGAAGAACATTACCTTGACCGAAAATACCAGCAGTAGACCATGTACAGCAACAACGAGAAGAACTGTAAACAGCACTCACATGAAAGAACTACCAATAGTGCAAGAACCATACATTCAGTTTGAATTTAATTTTTTTGCAAGACAACGGTACCAGTAAGCTGTCATTCTTAAGAATAAGAAAATTTTAGTGCCAATAAAATAGCATGGATCTATTGACATCTACAAAGCTTCAGAATGCAATGCAACGGCTCCATGTACAAGATTAAGCTTTAAGATGGCTAAGTTATGATGCACCGAAACATCTCTTGAAGAGAGAATGCAGTGTTGGACATGGACACGTGTCTGACATGGTTGGGACACGTGTCAGACACAGCAAACACGTCTGATTAAAATAATGTTTAAATTTAATCTGATATGGCTGGGACACGCATGACCTATTATATAATTATATATATATATATATATTATATATATATATATATATATATATATATAATATATATAAACGGGTTGAGAAATTCTCATATTAAATCTAATAACGAAAAATGTCATTTCTAATATTTTCTAACCAAGCCTTTTTAAGGGTATATCTCTACCTTTCTTAACATAAGCCAAATCTAATATCTTACTCTCGAATTAGGGATTATCGGAAGGCCGCCGTTTTACACATTGATAAATCAATTTCTAGGTGACTCTCTAAATTCTTATCTGCATGGGAAGCTACTCCAACCTTTTCACGAATTATGCTCGTTCATATCCTGTCTTCTAAGAAGAGTAAATCTACTCATCCACCTAGCATCCTCAGGCTCAACTACACTTAATTTATATTATGCTTCTCTTTTATAACCAACATTCTCTGTGCCATAAACATTGTAGGTTCACCACCATCTTATAAAAATTTTTCCCTTGTTTGAATTGTACTTTCTAATCACACAACAAAATCAGAAGGCATTCTTCCCACTTCAACCATCCAACTTGAATTTCTACTAATTAATTATCTTCATCTATTTCACCATCACTATGAACAATGATTCAAGAATCTAAAACAAATTATACTTATTAATGACCTGATCGCTCAAAGTCAACAAACCCCAACTAGATCTATTACTTGCTAAAATTACACTCTATGTATTCGGTTTTAGATCTACTCAAATGAAAACCTTTAGACTCTAAGGTTGACCTCCATAATTCGAGTTTAGCTTCAACTCCCTCTCTAGTCTCATAAACAAGAAGAATATCATCATTAAAAAGCATACACCATGGTACATCCTCTTGCAAATGTCTAGTAAGAACATCCATGATTAAAATAAAAAGATAATGGCTTAAGGCTAATCCTTGATGTAATTCAACTGAAATAAGAAAATACTTGGTCAAACTACATTGTGTTTGAACACAAGAAATAGCTTTTGCATACATATCCCTAATGAATTAAATATAAGCATTATTAACCCATTTCTTTTCTAGAACTCTCCATAACACTTCTCTTGGAACTTTATTATATGCTTTCTCTAAATCAATAAATATCAAATGTAGATCAACCTTATTCTCTCTAAACTTATCCATCAACCCTCTCAATAAATGAAGAGCTTCCATAGTAAACCTACCTGACATGAATCCAAATTGATTTTGAGAAACATAAATATCAAGTCATAACCTATGCTCCATAACTCTCTCCCAAAGTTTTAAAGTATGACATATCAACTTAATTCCTCTATAATTTGCACAATCATGTGCATCACCTTTATTCTTAAAAATAGGAGTCAACACACTCATTCTCCACTCATCTGACATCTTTTTAGTATATAAAATAATATTAAAAAGTTTAGTAAGCCAATAAATTCCTTCATCACCTAAGCATTTTCACACCACTATTGAAATATCATTAGGTCCAATAGCTTTTCTGCACTTCATTTTCTCTAAAGCCTTTCTAGCTTCAGTTTTACTAATACGCCGATAAAAATAAAATATCTATTTTCATTTAGAGTGCTAAGGTCACTAAAGTCAATCGCATTCTTACAATCTTCATTCAAAAGCTTATCAAAATATCTTATCCACCTTTGTTGAATATTTTTTTAAAAAAAGTACTTTTTGATCTTCATCTTTAATGCATTTTACTTGAACTAAATTTTTACTACTCCTATATCTTTATTTGGCTAACTTATACATATATCTTTCACCCTTTTTAGAATCTAATATATTATATAAATCATTAAAAGCTAAAATCTTTGCATCCCAGATTGCTTTCTTAGACATCTTACGAGCCTCTTTATATCTTTCCCAATTTTCAAAATTTTTACATCTAAACTAATAATTATAACAAAGCTTTTTATTTTTTATCTTTTCTTGCACATTTTGATTCTACCACCAACTATTTTTATTTTTAGGAATATTTCCTTTTGAAACTCCAAACACATCCATTACAACATTCTTAATATTACTAGCTACTTTTTCTCACTTAATAAAAAAAAAGGCTATAAAGCTTTTCACGTTTAGATTTGGGTCAAAATATACCAACTCAAATTTTCTCCAAACTAATATGAATACACATAATAGTGCAAGGCTATTCAGTATGCCTACATGGTCATACATAATGAAACGAAACCTGATTTGAGCTTAGACGGTACTGTGGAGGTGGGAGTCATGCAGAATCAGGCCAAGAACACCAATTAATCTGAGATAACTGCAGGAGTATAAAAAAGCCACAGATATGCAAACTTTCAAACCTCATGGTTAAAAAGGATGGGAGTAACTTGCGCACTTTGAATCTTATATTGAGCAAGAACCAGTCGAAGAGGAAGATTACCTAGGAATGTTTAATGTTTTACTTAGATATGAAGGCAAGTGGGCGTAATATGAAGACATAACCAACCACAAAGTAAATTTTGTTCATGCCACTAGGAGCATAGATTACACTCATCCAATGTAATCTACGATATTCTGATCCCTTTTTTTCTATCAAGATCTCAAATTCTAAATTTGTTTTCAGATAAATATGATATGAATTTTAATAATTTTTTCGTATATTACCCTCATCCAAAAATGAATCTAACGATTTACTAAAATTTGATATGATATCCTAAATGATATATCATAAAAAAATTATCTTGATCGGGCACGAATCTCGAGGCAAAAATCAAATGGGAAACTTTAAAAAGTAAATTCGGGATCATTTGAACTCCGATTTCAGCAAACTTACAGTCAAACTGAGCGTCTCGGAAATACGAACCCAACGACACCAAATTCAACTCAATCCGAGCCCAAATGGGTCGGAATCGAAGACCCGAAGCGCTGTTGGAAAGTTCAAATCACAATTTGGATTATTAAATGGTTTCCAAACATGACATGCTTATAGTCGAATCGAGCGGCTCGACGAGACGAAACCAACGAGCCCAAGATCGCCGAATTCCGATATCATTAAGACTTTCAAATGTCTGACAAACGGTCCATGATCAAGGGATTCAATATCGACCGTACATCCAAACCACTCCACATTTGCTCTTGATCCTCCTCCTATTTACGGGTCATGCCTTCCTCAAAAAACTATAAATAACACCTCATTTCTCTTGAGAGGGGCCTCAAGTAAGAAGAGGAGAAGAAAAGAATAAGAGGGAAGAAACTCCTCCTCGACCACCGCCGGAGTTTCGCCTAACTTTCAAGTGACGCTGGAGTTCTGCCCAAATACCATCTAACGCCAGAGTTCTCCTCGACTGCCGACTAACGTCGGACTTCTATCCGACGCCGGACCTCTGCTAGTCGCCAGATTTCTACCCGACGCCGAACTTTTGCCCTTAATCAAACTTCTGTCGAGCATCTATCCGATGCTGGATTTATGTCAATTGTTGGACTTCTACCTGACGCCGTTCTTCTAACCATCGTCGTTAGACGACAGTCCTTCCGACCTCCGTCGCCCCGCCGACTACGGTTCTCCTGACTTACGTTACCCACCGACTACATTTCTTCCGACCTCCATCGCCCGCGACTATGGTTCTCCTGACTTACGTCGCCCACCGACTACAGTCCTTCAGACCTCCGTCGTCGGCCGACTATGGTCCTCCTGACTTACGTCGCCCACCGACTACAGTCCTTCCGACCTCCATCGCCCGCCGACTACGGTCCTGCTGACTTACGTCGCCCACCGACTGTAGTCCTTCCGACCTCCGTCGCCAGCAGACTACGGTTATCCTGACTTACGTCGCCCACCGACTACAGTCCTTCGGACCTCAGGCCCTGTGATTTTTCCCCTTTTTTAGGGTTTTTCCAATTAAAAATCTTGGTGTCTCATAAATGCTACACACTCTCTCTTATCAGATTGCGTGCCGAATTTTCATAAGTTAAGATGTTAATTTTATATTTCTCTACCGCCACGAATACTCTAGGTTGCAACACTAAACAAAAAATTTCTATGATGTAATTTCTCAAGTAAGATGATATGAAGAAGGATTTTTCATTATAATTGCAGTACAATCTTCTTAATATTAATTCGTGTCGTCAACCGAGTATGAGCTATTATAGGTAACAGTATATAGAAATAAAAAATAAAAAACCTATGGCCGGTGCTGAAGTCTTGAAGTATCTTGAAGTGAAATATCGTTTCTTATATCTAACCAAACCAATATGGCCATCAAAACCATAGCTGCAACAACTATACTGATTTTTTTTTGTTCACTCAAATAACCTTTTTTTTTTTTTCAAATTTCGAACAATAGAGCCGTCTCTCACTAAATTATTTTGATTGAGTTACAAAACATAAGAAGAAGAAAAAAAAATGCAAATGCGCAAGCACCAGGCCGTCGAAGATGTTAGATCGATTGGTGGCTCATTCATGCTTAGGGGATTCATCCTTGGTGTCCACCGTCGGCAAGGTCTGAAGTCCAAAACATCATCTTGTCAAAGCTGAGCATTTCCTCGAACAGGTTATGCGCACTATCAAATGAATAATTAGGAAGAGGTGGAAAGCTTAGGTTTTACGAACCAGGTTAGGTTTGTATATGTTGTGTATGATGGAGGCGCCGGCGAGGAGGGACACGATTACCACGGCGCAAGACCAGGCCATTGACGGCGTCCCGGTCAGCGGCCGCCCGCCGCCGAATCTCTTTATGCTGGTCATCGTCCCTGTCGATTCCCCTAGTCCCGAAAGCTGTCAGCACTCAAACACAAACACAAAACACAGAGAGCGAAACTCCCACGGAGCAAATCAAGGTGAGTCTCAATATGCCCTTAATAGCCATTATTTCGCTCAACGGCCGATTTTGTTTGTCAATTCTAAAGAATGAATGAGAAATCACTCATTCAATGGGAGACTCAATTTTTTTAAATCTAATTCTACAAAAATAAATAATATAGTTTTATAACATTTCTATAATAAATTAAGGTCATAGATTTAATTTCTTTAAATTTTTTATTTTCAGGTCAAGTAAGAATTTTAATGAAATTCATTTAGAAAAATATGCTTCATTTTCTTATTATTTGAAATTTGATTCTTAAAATATAATACATAATTTATGAATGAAAGACAGTAATATTGTTTATATAAAATTATAATATTATTTAGCATAACCATATTAGATATATTTTGTATAACATTACTTAATTTATAACTTAAAAATACATACTGTACAGAACCAAAGAGAAAATAATAGATTTGTCTAATTTATTTTTATCATTTTCAATTACTTCTCTTTTCTAATTTCTTAAAAATAAATAATTCTAATTAAGGCTTCCTTTGGAACAATTTTCTTGCTATTTTTTAAATTTCTTCAACTAAAAAATTAACTTCAATGTCTCAACAGCAAATAAATATAGCAAATCAATAGTAGAGATTATTAAAAAGACTTCAAAATTCTGAAATAATCGCTTAGATTTTAAGAAAGAAGGGAAGAATTGAAGGAGTTCACAACAGAATAATATTATTTAGCATAACCATATTAGATATATTTTGTATAACATTACTTAATTTATAACTTAAAAATACATACTGTACAGAACCAAAGAGAAAATAATAGATTTGTCTAATTTATTTTTATCATTTTCAATTACTTCTCTTTTCTAATTTCTTAAAAATAAATAATTCTAATTAAGGCTTCCTTTGGAACAATTTTCTTGCTATTTTTTAAATTTCTTCAAATAAAAATTTTTTAATTAAAAAATTACTTTAAGAAACAAAAAGAAAACCATCCCAAAGTAAGCCTAAATTAACTTCAATGTCTCAACAGCAAATAAATATAGCAAATCAATAGTAGAGATTATTAAAAAGACTTCAAAATTCAGAAATAATCGCTTCAGATTTCATGGAAAAAAAGGGAAAAATTCAACGAGAGTTCAAAACAGAAAATTTTCTAGACACAGGAATTTGAAGATCAAGACCACTTACATGCCAACATAGATTTAGACTATCTATAAACTCAAACAAAGATAATTCTAGGAGAAAGGATTTCGTTTCCAAAGAAACAAAAGCTCCAGCAGCTCCATATTACTGGCATTTTGAGAAAATCCTCACTTTTTCTTCTCAGAAACACCTGCAGATCTGCAGATCAAACCGAATCAATTAAAAAAACAGTTCAAACTAAAAAAAAGAATGATTTAGTAGGACCAAATGACCGAGAAAGACAGTCAACAATAAAATGACAAACACTAAAAAAGATAACAAACAAATGATGTTAATAACTTTCCAACCTAATGCCGAACCCTAGTAAATAGACCAAAGAAAAAATTAATTAAAAAAAAAGAACAAAGAGAAATGAGTTGATAAATAAGAGAATGATGGTGCCATTAAGCAAAAACGTGATTAGAATTCAGAAGTTAGAGTTTATTTCAAGAATTTTACATGAAGTTCTCAAAATCATAATAAAGATTGTTATAGAAATCTTCTTAATAATACATTAGCTGTATATAACATGGAAGGCTAGCAGATGTAAATGTAATGTTTGCTAATCTCAAGGATTCATAGGTTTCTAAATAACAACAACAACATCAAGCTTTTATCCCACTAGGCTGCATGAATCCTTTTTCTCCATCGTATCTGTTAAGGATCAAATTCTTATTTAAATTTAAAGAAATGTCATTTCTAATATTTTCTAATCAAGTTCTTTTAGGTATACTTCTATCTTTCTTACCATAGGCCAAATCTAAATCAGAATATATATTTTTGACTCTCCAAAAGTTGGAAATAGCTCAAAATCTACTAACAAGCAATCCTGCACATTTTCTATTAACAGTAATGGCATAATTTTTCTTAGCCAAAAGAACAGTAAACAAATAACAATATTCCAACTGCAAAACAAAACTGACCTCATCTTCCTGAGAACATTAGCCATCTCCTCTCTCTTCTTCTTAGCTCTTTTGTGTGTACCCAACTTTCTTTTTGCCACCTTTAGTGCACGTTTATCCTTTCCAACTTTCAGAAGCTCAGTTATCCTCTTCTCATAAGGAGCAAACCCCGCAACCTCCCTGATCAAGTTCCTCACAAAATGAACCCTCTTGCTAGTTTTCTGAAATTTCATATGGACAAATACAAAATATATCAAATGAAAATCTCAACAGACATAAATGAGTAACAATATAAAAAACATAGAAAAAACAAATCCGGAATGATTTGAAGATTTCCATTAAAATTATTTCTATTTGATTACTAAGCTTTATAAAAAAGAACATCCAATTAGTAAGACCACACCAAGAAATGGGAAAATTCATCATCTCGATCACTTGATACATGTCTAACAAGAATAAAAAGTTGCGCATGGACAGCCACATACCTCGAAGTCCAAGCATCTATATTACAAGTCCTGATGTTCAAAGTTGAAAACATTTGGCCCAACAAAAAGAAAATTATAAGTTCTCAGTACTCGGTGTATAATTTAAGAAGGTTGAAGTTTGGAAGTTATGCTAAAGAGAAATGAACTAGGTGAGGTGTGATTGTTCATATGGAATGTTTCATTGTTTTATGTTGAATTATATGGGTTTGCTAAGTGTCAGAAGATATGGATGCTTAAGTATATGCAGAAAGAAATATACTAAATAGCTTCTGCTATCTGACGTTTTGTGTACACTCTGCAGGATTGTCTAGGAAAGTGGATTTTCCACATGTAAATTACCATTGCCCTCACTGCCATGCTTTGAACACAAAATTCAACATAAAACACAAGAAAACAAGAACTATGTGGCTGAAAGCATTCAAGAATTGCCTGAATCTACTGCTGATTGGCTTAAAAGAGAGGAACGTATTTATTCATGTGAGGGCGTTTTAAAAATAAGCTACTGTAAATTTGTCAATTTCTGTAAATGGGAAAAGCAGAAGATTTAGCACTGGGTCTTGGAGGTTTCAACTTCTGCAGTTGCCTCCAAAGAGAAGTGATTAGTTTCCTGTTGGCCTGAGTGATATCAAACTTTTCTTACAAAGTTCTGGGAGCGGATATTTAATCAACAGTTAAAAACATTTGGTTAGTTTTTAATTTGTATTAAGTTCATGATTGTTTTATTGTAATAGAAGGGATTGTTTGACCTGACATTGTAGTGATTGTTCATTTGGAACATTCAATAGACGATACATAACGAACTCTTCAGTTTTGTGTTAAACATTCAACATAAAACATCGAAACTCTTTAAAAATTTTAATTTTAATTTCAATAAAGTTCAAATTAAGTTATTAGTGATCGATCTTAAGTAAATTGGAGTACAAAAATTTTATAAATTGTTTTAATCACTCATTAAAATTATTATCATATAAAGATGTTCAAATTTTATTTATAAAGTTCTATTATCAAATATATTAAGTATAATCTATTAATAATGTAGAAGAGAGTATTCTCTCCTAATTTTATTTTGAAATGTTTCTCCACTCAAAACCAAGTAATTATGCAGGTCAAAAATAATAAAATAAACTAACGACAAAATAATACAATTGTACAATGATTTTGAATATTAGAATATCTAAATGTCAAAATCACACAAAATTTAACACAAAGAATGATGATCTAAAGATATATGCACAAGATGTGATAGTATGGAACTTTAAATTACTATAAATGTACAAGGAGCCCCGAGGAGTTTGGCAAAAGGGCTAAATATCATAGATTGTCCTATGTGGAGACACGGTTGCACTCCAATTAAATATGGGAGCAAAAATAGAGACCAGCCAAGGCATAGCTTACGAAGGCTGAGCAAATAGAGTGCATCCAAGAGATCAAAACACAAGAAGGCCAAATAATTATCATAAAAAAAAAGTGTATACAAAAATAAAAAAAGTCACGGTAGTAAAATAGCAGATTTCCTGATGGACATACGAAATCTCTAGCAGAAAGAGGAAAAAAAAAACAATACAAACTAAGGGCTACTCACAACACGTGTTCTTGAAACCCATGAGAGCCTATGCAACGAGTAAACTCTCGTCGTTACATTCCATCCAACAAGAAGAACGTCATTGAACGTTCCTGATTCCCGATCAAATAGGGCATGTCGTCGAACCATCCTGACTTCTGATCGAGCACGAAACGTTGTTGAAGTTAAAGAAGACAGTGCGGTGCAGCAGACGAAGTCGAACATGAATGAAATGAGGATAGACGCCGCTCTACATTAGGTTTAGGTTTTAAATAAATTTATTTCTATTTTATTTTGAGACAAACACTTCACATAAGTGAGGCGATGCGCGCCTCCCTAGATTTGAGGTGTACGCCTAACGAAATAGGTTCAAAGCGTCTACCTCGACACGTTGCAGGGAGAAATTGCGCTAAAGTACGCCTCTTTTCGCACAATTTTAAATAATGTATTTAACAAGTCTTCATAGATTTTCTTTGAGATTTGGAATATTGTGTAGTAATATAGATTAATATTTCATATAAATGTGTAGCGTGAATAAAAGATGCATCAATATACATAGTTCAAATAAAAAGTTGTGCGTATGTATTATAATCCTTTTTTGGCACACCTATGTCCAAATGCTATTTTTCAAAATCATTAAATTTCATTGTAGGATAAAGGTGTGCAATGCATATAGTCATTTTGTTTGCACTCATGTGTAGATATGAAAAATTTTGCAAAATCTTGAATATGTGTGTTGCATAGAGGTCTAAACAAGTCATAAGACACATTTTATGTGTTATACCGACCTGTGACAAGTGTTGCTTTGCGAAATAGTTGAATTCCAAGGCAAGTAATAAGTTCACATTTTTTATTCATAGAATTATTTACAACCTTTTAACTAAATTTTAGGTTTGTACATTATTGTGTGCATGTCTATACACAGCATTATACAGGCTTTTCTTTTCAGGCTATACACAAGTAATTTATAGGCAAGTTCTACAATTTTTTATGATGTACAGTTGACGGTTGCACATTATGGTTCAGCACAGTATTTTTTTGGCAAGTTCTTTTATTTTTTAAATTTTTTTTGTATTGTACCAAGTTGTGTCCAACCTCTAATTTTAGTTTAAAGTGTTTTACAAAGTTGTGTATACCACCAAAAACTTAAACACACTTGTACACACAACTTAATACATCTCAACAAAAAAGGAATTATCTAAAATACTTGTTCAGTTTAAACTAAAATTAAAGGTTGTATACAACAATCGAAAGGTAATTTGAGACTAATCCTTCCAATTGATATGTTATGCACTGCTGTTTGCATCACTATAAACTCAAATGAAGGTCTGCAAACAGCTGTGAACAAGTTTTTTGACAACCTTTTTTTTTTAATGTACAACCCTCTAAATACTAATTAAAGGCTATACATAATTTTTACATGCGTTCTTGATTTCTTAGCATCCTTCCCACATCACAAAATGGCAATTATCTTTCATAGTTTATCATATTAGAGTGAAAAGTAAAATAGCATTTCAAATCAGTGGTCATCTCCTGAATTTTACTTCTTATGAGATAGCATTACTTACTGGGCTCCCAAATCAAGAAGTAATTTATTGGTCACGGGATTCACTTTCAAAAACATATGCCATTTAGATTAATAATAAATGAAAAAAAGTAAAATACATTTGAAACTTCTAACCTACCAAAGATATATCTTCAATTCCTATAGAATTTTTTTCATAGAAACCTGCTTTCATATTCAAAGAACTTAAGAAATTTTTTCTTCATATAATTGGGCAAACGTTGTGTGGAAGTTGTTAATTTCTCAAATTGATGGTATAACTAAATGTTCCTGAGGAATCTCATTAAAAATTCACTCCACCCACCCGCTCTCCTCAATAAAAAATTTTGCAATCAAATCTTAAAAAAAAAAACGAAGAACGAGCATCATAAACCACATCACAAGTCGTTTGCTTACCCCTTTCCTGCTTGACGGACGAGGTGGCAGCTCACGTTTGGTGACGATATGCCCTTTGTTGAGCCCAACAAAAAGGCCGGTCTTTGGCTGTGCAGGAGCCATCAATTCCCACTGCTTCAAAAAATAAAGTTTTTATTACATTAATCGCAAATCGACCATAAATCTAACTAACATCTTCTCATAAACGTAATCAACGATGGAACAAAGAGCAAAGAAGCTATTATGTCGACTAGAGATCTCGGCAATAATTAACAACGTAGATTCCTACTAAACAAATCTAGGTTTTCAAATCAGACGAAAGTAATAGAATCAATCAAATTCGATGAGCACAAAGAAGTAAGGGGTAAACAAACCCCAACTCCGTCGCCTCAGAAATCCAGCGGCCTCGTCTCGTAGTAATGGAGGCTTTCGATCCCTAACCCTAACTGATAAGAGCGGCTTTGAAGTGATCTCGCACAAATGACCAAAATAGTGCTGCAGTCTTTTAAAAGACTTTACTGCACTCTATGTTTAAGGGGGATTTACATACATGCCACTTTATTATATACATATTACATATTTAACACTAAAAAGTTAAATATTACAATCTTACCATCCAAATACTAATTTTATAACATAAATATCACTCCGTCTCCTGAACCCACACTCCGTCTCTTCCTTCGGGCGTTACCTGTTCTTTCCGCGCGAGAACTTCATCTTCCCGCGGTAGCTGTTCTTCTGCATCCTGTTTGGTATCGGATTTAGAGCGGGATTTAAGTTGGATTTATGCTAAATCCAGCCAAACAGTTTTTGTGCGCGCGTTAAATCCCGGATTTAAGGATGTATGGCTTAAACCCGAATTTACTAAATCCTTCGGTTCGGCGGATTTATGGGATTTGGCCGAAGAAACGACACGTGCTCAACGAAGCCGAGAAGCAACGAATTGGTAGCATTCTAAAATCATCTCTGTCGTCCAATCCGCTTATTTCAAATATTTAGGCAACATTTTCAATACCAAGAAGCAGTGACGGGCCACATAAGTTTTCTTAATTGGATTATGCCGTAATGCCCCAAATAATTCTTTAACAATTTTTTATAAAGCAAAGTAGCAGGAAAGTCATCCCAAACGGACACTTCATTTGAAAAATTTATTGTGTGGACGCTGATAGTCGTCTGGAGATCGATCAGAATGCACAACATCACCCATGTGCTCAGTACCGTGACTCGTTACTACTCGGTACTGTTTGGTTGGTCTCCGAACGACGGTCTGCGTCTAGTCTTCGCATAGAATAATTTCTCCTTCATTTGTAACGGCTCTCTTAGTGAAGTCTTCCCAAAAATAACCTTGGACTTTATTCATTTATATTACTTCTTAAAACAACTTTTTAGCAAAAAAAAAATTTGTATAATAAAATTTTATATTAAAAAGTTACTTTAAAAAACAATAATAAAGCTGTCCCAAATAAAGCCTTAATACAATAACACTTCATAATTTATGTGAGAAGAGAAATTTTGATCATACTAAGTATGAATTATAATTTACATACGCAATCATAGAAGCAAATAAAATAGGCGGGGGACATAAATTTTGTAATGAAAATTTTGATTGAAAAAAGAGTTTAACGTACATGGTTAAAATATATTCATAATGATGTAGGTTATTACTAATATCCTATGTATTAGCAACATAATGAAGATTAGTTCTAAGATAATCCTTTCTAGAAGGTAAAAATAAAAAAATGACCTTAGGGTGACGATCAAAATAATGCTAAAAAGTCAAAGAAGGTGATTAAGGATTGCCTAAATGATCCTCCTTCATAGGTGAAGTGATATGGCTTAAAAAGCAGCAGATGAATATTATTGTTAAAAAATGTGGGCTATTAGAACGATCTATACTCCCTAAATGTGGTAGATAAGCCAATTATATTACAAAGTTTTTTGCTCCTCATATATTTTATATACCTAACAAAAATTGTTAACGTGAATTAGAATGAGGAAGTTTTATTTGGTTCGGTTGACCGAATGAGAGAAACATTCGGTCGCAGGCAAAAATCGCGCGGTATCGAGGTGTACCGAGTTTTTTAAAAAACTCGGTACACCTCGGTACCGCGCGATTTTTGCCTGCGACCGAATGTTTCTCTGCATTCGATCGGAGGACGTAATAATTGTTCCATTATGAGAGGCTAAAAAAATATTTAATTTTAGAGGGGATATTTTGCGCAGGATATTTTGCGCATTTTGTCCCCTCTAAAAAATTTTTTTTGCCCTAATTTTATTAATCCTAAGCTTCTTTGCCCATCTCCCATAATTTTTTTTTTTTGCCCACCCTGAAAAAAAATATTGGATCCGCCCCTGATTCCAACTCCCTAGTCAATGTACATCATTAGAGTTATTTCCCCTACATCATACGTCTTTATACAATAATCTAATGATTTCGCTAATTATAAAGATTGTTGCCTTATTGTGCCCCCTCCATCTAAATCAATTTTTTGATCAATTAGGGCAATATATATACTTTTTTTTTTGGGACATTTAGGCCATTTAAGGCAAACACACACACTCAACGCATACACATAGACTCGAACCGTGAACCTCTTAGTTGAAAGCCAAAGCTCTCAACCAATAGGCCAAGCAGAGTTGTGTGCAATATATATACTTATCCCTATATTATATATTATTAATTTTCCTTTATAGTAAAACTCTCTTACTTATTATGTGGTATGGGTGTAATCTACAAATCTAAACTATTTAAATAACCCTTTTAGTTCTTCTTATTTTTATTTCATCTCTTTCTAACTAGTCATTATCAACCCTTACAGGTAATTAGTGATTCTTCATTAACTGCCCAACCCTTCTTTTATTAAATTAGTTGCACAATGACCGTCACATATGTGAAAGCCAATTTTCATTGTTTTCTTTCCAGGTTCGTCCAGATGAAGTGGAGTTCGTCCGGGACGATCAGTGATAAATTTGGTGACAGAGAGATTTGTCCCACGATAAAGGTAGGTTCGTCCGTACGAAATTTTTTCAGAGAGCAATTCGTCCAAGGACGAAAGAATTGGAATTTATTTTTGTCTGCACGATCCGTGTCTAGAGGTGATCGTCCCGGGACGATCAGGGGCATCGTCCTGGACGATCCTGTTTGATAAATATCTAAATAGTGTCATTTTGAAGAAGAGAAAGAGGAGGAGAGAGAAAAAACAAAGAGAGAGAGGAAGAAAAAGTGAATTTTGGGCGACTTTGGTCCGTTTTCGTCCGTCGCCGTAGTTGGGAAAGTTAATATACTCGAGGTAAGGCGTATTATGCCTTTCTTAATTATCAGAAATATGATTTTTGATGGATTTTATGTTTCAAATTCGTTTTCCATTAACGAAAAATGGGTATAACTTTGCACCGATAAAACTTTTACATCGTAACTTTTTGTATGTTTTAGAAATGATGTTTTTGCACATTTTGAGTATTTTCTGGAAAGTTTTCACCGTGCATTTTAAATTCTGCGGAGTTTTTATCGAATAAAAAATTATCTGGATGTTAGAAAATATTGCTTCAGTACAATGAAAGTCTTAAAATGATGTTTTACACTATATGTTGTAATTTGGTAATTTTCTGAAACTGTGAATTTGATATGTTGAAATTTCCGTAGACTGCCGTTATGCCGCTGACAATTTTTCTAATAAAATCTGATTTTTCTGAATTTGAACTATTTGATGTGTTTGAATGATCAGAACGGAGTTATAAGGGGCCATAATCCTTTGAGATTCTGTCTGTGTTAGGGAAGGGAGGCATAAAGGGCCAGAATCCTTTGAGATTCTGTCTGGGTTAGGGAAATCTGTGATGAAATGTGATTTGAAAGTTCTATGATATCTTATGTTCTGAACTTTGAATGTTGTTTGAATTATGAATTTGATAATTATGTGACGTAAATTTGATTCAGATCTTCTGTCTCTGTGATTTAATTTGTTATGTACGAATGTATGTATTATGTTTGATTTTTGTTCTGTATGAATCTCTGACCTATGTCTGATATTCTGATTTTTGTTGTCTGAATTTTTGTACAACTACTTGAATAAACTATTCTGATGATTTTGTTGAGAGTTTGTGGAGATTTTGATTGGCTAGTGTAGTCTTGCTGAGCTATTAGCTCATCCTTGTTATTTGCGTGGTTTTCAGGTTCTGAGAAAGGGAAGGAGGTTTTAGACTAGCCGTTCAGTGTCTGATCTGAGACTAGGTATTTTGGTACTTTTGATTTTTGTACGATCATGGCTATTCTGTTCTTCTGTTTTGTTCTTTCTGTTTATAGACATGCACTGTATTGTACATGATTATTTTGAAGAGTGAGAATAAAGAAAATGTTAGATGAATTTCTGTATATTTGAAATTTAATAGTAGCTATGTGTTTTCTGCCTATTTGATTATTGGAAGAAAGTCTGAAACCAAATTTCAAAGCTAGATCCTAGATTCATCCGTCGCGACTCGACGCGATGGGATTCGTTCCGGTCGGGTTGGGTCGTGACAACATATACTTTATCTTATCTCCTTACAACAAGGCAAGAAGTATGTTATCTTGTCAATGTGCTAATTCTTTGTCATTCTTTCTGGAGCTATCACCCTCTAGAACATGAGTAATTATTGTGTTCAGACACCGAACGTGTCCAGAGACCAATAATAATGCGCTACGTCACCTGGAGCTCAGTATCGAGCACTTGGTATTGCTCGGTATACGTCAAAATTTTTGATTTTTTGTCCGAACATAATAACTTTTTCTCGAACACTGTCGCAGATCCCATAGTTTATATTTTTATACTCTCATTGAAATTAACTCGTCCAGTTGTCCCTTAATTAAAAATTGAATTAAGAGGAACCCTGCCTCCTTGAGCTACTATCAATGCTTTGTATCAATATAATGCCACAACAATTCTTGTTACCCTTTTAAACAAATATCTCCAAGGTGCTATATTCGGTTAATTTTATAGGAATATGCTACGATGAAAGATTGGAAGGGGGCATGGGCCTTAAGCCTAATTTGTTTCATGGGCCTCAAAGAAAGAGTGACAAAATGTCCACTTATCCTAATGGAGTCCATATAATCTAAGCTACCAAAAAATCATTCTCACTACATCTAAAGAGCGCCTCTCTATCTTCGGTTTTAAAAATAGAATGTTTCTTGTCATTTTTTTTTTTAATTTGACTAATATTATTTATTGAATTAGCTATATAGCATATATTACATATCTCTTAACATTATATATGTATAAAATATTCCATAATCTAATATTAAAAAATACAAAATGTATCATAGTTGTTCATTTGAGTTTAAATAAAATAATACACATCACATGTATTAAAAAAAATCATTAAAAAAAACACCAATGCGAGGTTGAATAGCCATTTATTATTTTTTCTTATGATTTAAGTATTTAACCTAGAATAACATAAAACAAAATGTTCTCCATTTGGAGTTCTCACCGCCTCATTAAAATTTCAACTTGCTAAGCTGCATTTTCTTCT